CAGCACTTCACCGTGGTAAAGGCTGAACTGCAGTGCCAACCACAAGTGTTACAGCAAATTTATACTGGGAAACCACAAGAGGGAGTTAGGACAGTTACAAAGGTTACAAAAGCCATTTCAGCCGTTTCCAAGAAACTCAGGAGGGCACAGGTGCAACGCCTGGGCACGCTTGGCCAGAGGCTGAGCCACCTACCGCCCTCCAAACTCCACCTATCCAGTGTTTGGTAACCTACTCCACCTCCCTGTCTTAAGGCATCCTGTCTCCAGGCAACGGAGGAGCTGGGCAATGTTTGCAGCCCAAAATAATATATTTCTGCTTTTGCTAAAGAATTAAAAATTTAAAAAATTAAATTAATTCAAATCCAAAAGAAAAAAAACAACAACACTGCATTATAGCAACTTGTAAATTTTTAGCCTCACTGCTGAAATAATGCTAAAGAATAAAGGTGGGATAAATATATACCAGCTTAACTTTCACTCTCCCGTTATCCCTCCCCCCCCCCCCCCCCCCCCGCCGTCCTTATCAGAGTTATTTTACCTTAATATGGCACAATGAGTCACAGTCACAGCCACTTCTTCACAGCGTGGGTCTTAAGAACCCAAACCTGTGTCAGCTTTCAGTTCTTACAAATTCTTTCATAAGAAAAAAAAAAAAAAAAAAAAACATGTTTGCTATTTATCACAGTTTTTACCTTTCAATTTAAAAGGCAAAAATGGGTGTTTTCTCTCTCTCTCTCTCTCTCTCTCTCTCTCTCTCTCTCTCTCTCTCTCTCTCTCTCTCTCTTTTCAGGGAGCACTCCAGTGCCATTCCCTTCCCTCTCTCCTTCTACCACAGACATGCATCATTGATGTTACTCCCTCTCTCTCTCTCCCTCTCCCTTCCTCTCTGAAATCAATAAAAATATATTTTTAAAAAACAACAAAGAAAGCCACAAGAATACAGAGGACATTTTTGTTCTCAGAGGAAATGGTTTTCGTTTTTGCCCATTGAGTATGATGTTGACTGTAGGTTTCTCATATATGGCCTTTATTAGGTTGAGGTATGATCTCTCTATTCCAACTTTCTCAAACGTTTTTATCAAAAAAGGGTGTCGGATTTTATTGAATGTTTTTTCTACATCAATTGATATGATCATGTGATTTTTTGTTTTCCAATTTGTTTATGTGATGTATCGCACTTGTTGATTTGTAAATATTGTACCAGCCTTGCATCCCCAGAATAAATCCCACTTGGTCATGGGGTTATCTTCTTAATGTATTGCTGGTAGGAGGAAGATAAGTATCACATGATCTCACTCATATGTGGAATCTAATGAAGAAAATAAACTGATGAAGAAAATAGATCCAGAGACATAGGACCATGAACAGACTGATGAATTTCAGAAGGAAGATGGGGTGAGAGGTGAGGAATTTATAGCCCAGAGACACAGGCAGTAATGTGGCAAAGGCTAAGGAGGGCCGGTGTGGGGCGGAGGGGGTCAATGGGGGGGGGGGGACAAACAAAGGGGACATCTGTAATACTTTCAAAAATAAATTTAAAAAATTAAAGAAACATTAAAAAGGATACAGTGACTAAGAAAACATCTTTAATACAATTGCAAGCCTCCTGGCACCCAGAAAGTGGGAGGGTCATCCTTGCCTGTTTCAGCTCTAACTTGGGGTCTGGGCCTCCCTCTACGTGTGTCACATGGCGAGTCTTCCCTTCCCAGCTGGACTCTGATTCCTGGAGGGCTCACTGCAGGCTTGCACCCCCCCAGGGCCAGGATGAACCCTCTCGGGTCCCCTGCCCTGAGGGAAAACAGGGGAAGTAAAGAGGGTGACGTCAGCAGAGGCACAGACTATGGGGAAGGCCAGGGACCAAGACTGTCCCCCGAGTCTCTCCCCTCTCCTGTCCCTCAGAGACGGCGTGTCACTGGGCCATGGCTCCCGGGCCTGCCCCACCTCAGGGACCGCACTCTTTGCTTCCCCAGACCTTGGTGAGCAGCAGCTGAACGAGGCACAATGATCAACGTTCTCTGCGAAAGGCTGTGGGAGGAGAGGGGAGGGAGGGAGGGAGGATGAGCTGTGAGGGTCTGGGAGCAATCATTGGCTTAAGCATCCAGCTCACTAGGCACATAGACCTGAGGGTGGTTCACACGCCAGAGGAAGAGAGGAGATTGGAGAGCGGGAAACTCTTGGAGTGTCTGTTTCTCTCTCGTGAGGTGAGAATGAAATTCCTGCATCTCACAGAATCGCTGTGAAAATTAAAGGAGCACACAAGGCAGGCCCTCAGTCAAACTCCTGGTGGTTCTCAACTTCAGCGGTCAAGGTGGGACCTGAGAGTGAGTATGTCTTACAAGTTCCCAGGTGGTGCTGGCCTGGCTGGTCAGCACTGCCATACCGGTGAGCGGTATGACTAGGTCATGTTAGGTGTGTGCCTAACTTTTACGGAACGGCCAACATGATGGTGCCATTTCACACACACACACACACACACCCCCACCGTGGTGTCTGAGAGTTCCGGTTGCTCCACATCCTTGCGGACAGGTGGTCTGGTCCGCCCTTCAATGTTAGTCATTTACCAGGTGTTTGATGGCACCTCATGGTGGTGGTTACTTGTATTTCCCCAATGACTAATGGTATTACCATCTTCTCATGCTTATTAGTTACCCATCTATCTGCTTTTACAAAATATCTATTCAAATATTTAGCTCATTTTAAATTGAGATCTTATTTTTTTAATGTTTAAAAATATATATTTTTATTGAATTTTGAGAGAAAAGGAGAGGAAGAGAGAGATAGAAACATCAATGATGAGAGAGACTCGTTGATTGGCTGCATCCTGCACGCCCCACACTGGGGATTGAGCCCACAACCCGGGCATGTGCCCTGAGTGGCGATCAAACCCAAACCTCCTGGTTCATAGGTTGATGCTCAACCACTGAGCACGCTGGCCAGGCCACCCAGCATCTTTCACAGCCCAGAGGACAGAAGGGCCTTAAGCTCTGCGCCTCAGCTTCCCTGTGGGTAAATGGAGATTACAACACCCCCACAGAACGTTGTAAAGCTGAAATGAGGCAATGATGTTTTGTGACTGAGTCAGATAAGAGCCTCCATACAAATGTGAAACCTCTTTTCCAGGCCTGGCAGGAAGGGTATGAAAAGCAGACACAGAGAGGGGCGGGCTGCCTGGCTGGCTGTGGGAGAAAAGGGGAAGAAACTGATTGAAAAGGAAGTTGGGCTGAAACCGGTTTGGCTCAGTGGATAGAGGGTAGATGTGCGGACTGAAAGGTCCCAGGTTCGATTCCAATCAAGGTCACTTCCTCTGATGCAGTCATGTCCACCCACTCCCACAGTCTACTCAGCAAGTTGATGCCAAGGTCACTCTGGGGAGGCCATGGGCAGAGCCTCCTGTGAGTCACCAAAGGTCCAGTTCACCACAAGTCACAGGCTGGCAGTGCCCTCCAGTAGGGGTGGTCCCAGGGGCTGTCTCTGGGTGACCCCATTACTGCTCTGAGCCTTAACCCCCTCGGCCAGGGAAGACTCTGGATTAGCCAGGGCTCCCACAGCGGTGGACAGGACCATCTAAGGAGCTTTATAAAAGCACAGCCTCCTCCTTCTTTCATAGAGCTCACCTCAGAGCTCTGCATCTGGTGCCGAGGCCTAGAGGCTCTGGTGCAACCAGCATCCGGCACCCAGAAGGCTCTGGGATTCAGCAAGAGTGAGGATCCAGTCCTGGACCCACCGCTTGAGGGCCATGGACTTGGGCTCACCCTCTCTGAGCCTTGGTTGTCTCACACGTGAAGGGGTGAAGTCAGAGGGCCCTCAGATCCACACTTGAGTTCTGTGGGTAAAGGCATGGCCTCCAGAAAGCCCACACTCACCTCCCAATCCCAGCGAGGGTGTGAGATGCAGAGAGAACAGACTGGGGCCCGTGGGACTTGTTTCTGCCCGTGAACTGCGAGGGAGGGCGAGGGCCCAAGAGCCAGCTGGATGCCCCTGGGGTGGAGGGCATCTCCACCCGCGCCTCCCTCCTCCTCTCCCGGGGGCTGAGGCTGGACATACTCCTGGCTGCCTTTCCTCTCCTGAAAGAGCCTGAGCTGGTCCTGCTGCTGCCCCTTCCCCCGCAGTGAGAGAAACAGGCTGAGAGGCGCTCAGAGAAGCAGAGAAAAGGAGAGCGAGTGAGGGACAGAGAGATGGGACTGACTCCCAAGGAGATGAGAAAGTCCCTGGCAGAGACAGGGAGCTGAGGCGGGAGGGAGAGGCCCCGGCAGCCAAGGTCAGTGTTGGAGAGCGGGAATTTCTGAGCGTGCTTCCAGAGAGGCCGTGGACTGTGCCCAGATAAAATTGTCAGTGCTGACACCAGGCCAGGCCTTGAGACAGGGTTTCATGGCCCCTTCCCAGCACGTGGGCCTTCTTTCATAGAACACTGTCAGCTTTCTGAAGAAGAGGATGACCCTGTGAACATGGTCATCAATGGCATGACTCTGATGTAGCTTGGGAAAAACTGTTTTGTCTTGGGTTACTTGGTCTGCAAAAACAGAATGTGGTTAATGGTCTTAAAAGTGGTCCCACACAAAGGGTCACAGGTGCTCTCTGGTCTCCCTGTGTGGAGAATGGCAGAGCAGTCGCCTGCTAGTCGCTCACCCGGCCGGCTAATAAAGGCACTTTGCTTTTGCATCGGACTCGGCCCCCTGGTGGTCCTTGGGGATCTTAAAATCTGGGCATAACAGTCAGGACCACACCCCGAGACTATGGGGCCTGGGGGGCCCATATCATGGCTCTTGGTCACTGACCACAGGGGAAGCTCTTCTGCAATGTCAGAAAAGAAGAAGCCAGATTGTAAAAGGAAGTGCTGCTCCTTCTGGGGCAGGCTGTTTGGGGAAGGCTCCCACCCCCCAGTCCTTGGAAGGAGCCTGATCCTGCCCTCCCCGTGGTCAGACTAGCCTGAGGCAGCCCCTCCACCGAGCCTGCCCTCCGCTAGCTCTGCTTGTTGTCTCACCGCCCAGGAGAGCAAGGCGATGGGTCCGCCCCCGCTGCTGCCCCCGCTGCTGCCCCTGCTGCTGCCCCTGCTGCCGGCAGCTTCTCTGCAGGCTGGTGAGTGGCCAGGACGCCCTGGCTGACAGGGCCCCAGGGGAGCCCGGGAGGGGCTGTGGCCAGCCAGGCTTCCCACCTGCAACAAGCAATGGGCTGGGCGGGTCCCTTACATCCCTCACCCTCCTTTCTACCCAAGCCTGGAGAGGGGGACACCCAGCCAGAGGGACAGTCCTATGATCTGTCCCACTTCCGCCCGTAGGTGAGGGTGCCAGATGGGCCGGGGTTAGCTTCTTGGTCCCTCCAAGTGGCTTCAAAGTCCCTCCCTCTCCCTCCCTCTCTCCCCCAGGGGGCTCAGCAAAATGCGAGTTAAACCCTATCCATGGAGTCTACCAACCAGAGCACCTCTCAGCCCCTGAGGGTGGCTCCATCGACATCCCCTTCTCCTTCTGCTACTCCCTGGAGTTAGCCAGCGATCCCAACGTGCGTATATCCTGGCGATGGAAACAGTTCCATGGAGAGTTCATCTACAACACAACCCCGCCGTTCACCCATGAGAATTTTAAAAACCGCCTCTTCCTGAACTGGACAAAGGGCCAGACGAGTGGCTCCCTCCGGATCTCTAACCTGCGGAGAGAGGATGAGAGTAACTACTTCTTCCGAGTCCGGTTGACCACACGGAAAGATGGCGAGAAGGAGTGGCAGTCCATCAAAGGGACCCGCCTCACCATCACCAAAGGTGAGTCCCACCGCCCCGGCCCCTGGGGCCCTCGTCCCCCAGGACTGGTCCAGGCTCCTCTCTTCCCGACCTTTCTCTCAGACTCCTCTCCCTGCCCCCGCCTGCTTCCCAGGCCTCTGCCAGCTTCTCCTTCTTCACCTTCTTCTCCCCCAAACTCGGGCTGCCTTCCTTGCCCATCCTCCTCACTGCCCCCTCCAGACCCAGCCCCTACCCCACCCCCAGGCCTCAGCGCCTCCCACCTGGTTATCCTCCCTTCCTGCTCCAAGTGGGGCTGCGGCCCTGCCTCCTGCCTTCACCCCATGCCCTCCAGGTGGCCTTGACTTTTGCAGCATGTGGCCTGCCTTTCCTTTGTCCTGTGTCTGTAGGTGGAGCCCCCGCTGGCCCCTGTCAGTGTCCCCCACAGCCATGAGCTCAGCCTCACACACACAGGAGGGCCCAACAGCGGCCCAAGGAACTCGCACCCTCCCCTCAGCCCCTGGTAACACCCCAGCACCTGTTGTCCCAATCTCCCTGCTTCCCAGAACATGACCCTCAATGCTCCCTCCCCAGTTCCATTTCTTTTTCTTTTCTTTTCTTTTTAAATATATTTTATTGATTTTTCACAGAGAGGAAGGGAAAAGGATAGAGAGCAAGAAACATCGATGGGAGAGAAACATCGATCAGTTGCCTCCTGCACACCTCCCACTGGGGATGTGCCCGCAACCAAGGCACATGCCCTTGACCGGAATCGAACCCGGGCCCCTTCAGTCCACTGAGGAAAACCAGTTTCGGCCCCAGTCCCATTTCTTTATTCTCCTTCCCCATCTCCCTCTTCCTGTCTTAATCCTCTTTACCCTCCTTGCCTCTCTCAGAGCTGCACCCCCGCCCCCAACATGGGAGCCTCTATGCTGTCCCCTTCTCCATCCTGCTACTGCCCCTCTGTGCTGTTGTTAGAGGCCCCTTTGCAGCAGCAGTGAGGGCAGTTCCTGCAGGCTGTGCACTGTGTCCGGCTGAATCCTTGGTATGCACTGCCCTAATGACTCTGCACCATGACCCCACAATAACAGTAGGTACTGCTATCATCTTTATGTTACAGATGGGGAAACTGAGGCTTGCAGAGCCTAAACACTGGCCCAAATTCCCACTGCTGGTGTAGACAGCATTTGAACCCAGTGTAACCCCAGAACCTACTCTTTTAGCTAGTTTCTTACCTCCTCTATTGACTTGTTATCCTTACCTATTTTTAACCCAATATGGGGTGTGCTGCATTAATAGTCCTTCCTATATTAGTTAGTGAGGCATGGAATCTTAAATATAGATTTTCCTGTCTCCAGGGCAAATACTGGGGGATTCCACTTCTATGGGGGACCTAGTATAGTCAAATTTATAAAAACAGAAAGCAGAATAGTGGTTGCCAGAGGCTGAGGAAGGAGAGAATGAGGAGTTGCCTAAATGGGTGGAGTTTTATTTTGGAAAGAAGTGTTATAGTGGTAAGAGTTGCACAACAATGTAAATGTTCGTACTGACTTAAATGTGGTTAAAATGGTAAATTTTTGCTGTGTATCTTTGACCACAATAAATGGGTTGGTTTTTTTTTTATTTTTTATTTATTTATTTATTTTTTTTAATCAATCTTTATTGTTCATATTATTACAAAGGTTCCTCATTTCTTCCCCCCTCCACCAGGTTCCCACCCCACCCTCCGTCCCCCCCCCACCCTCCATTGTCCTCATCCATAGGTGCAGTTTATGTTCAGTCTCTTCTTCCCTCAATTTCCCCAATAGTAAATCCCTTTTCAGATAGTAAATCAGTTATTTAGCATTTTCTCATATCAATAATACCTCCACATGCCCAATGATACACTTCACACAAAAGACATTTCCCTCTAGGTCAACCAGCCTCATTCAGGCCCCACCCAAGGCACTCACAGATCAACACCCCAGTCCTAAACTAACTCAACACATCCAGATCTAAGCCTTCATCACTTGATTCAGCAGACCCTCAAGTTCCCACGAAAGTTTCCAGCCATGTCTGAGAAGCAGCCGTGGGGCAGGGGCAGGCAAGGAGCGAGCTGTTCTGGGCCTGGCTGCTCAGGGCCTGGCCTCTATTGCTCTGGTTCATTCCACAACCAGCTGCTCCGGGTCTGGTCACTGCTGCTCCCGACCTAGTTGCTCTGGACTTGGCTGCTGCTGCTCCGGGCCTGGCCGCTCCCAGCCTGGCAGCCGCTGCTCCAGGCCTGGCCGCACCCGACCCGCCTGCTCCCCCAGGCCTGGCCGCTCCCAGCCTGGCAGCCGCTGCTCCGGGCCTGGCCGCACCAGCCCCGCCTGCTCCCCCGGGCCTGGCCGCTCCCAGCCTGGCAGCCGCTGCTCCGGGCCTGGCCGCACCCGACCCGCCTGCTCCCCCGGGCCTGGCCGCTCACAGCCTGGCAGCCGCTGCTCCGGGCCTGGCCGCACCCGACCCGCCTGCTCCCCCGGGCCTGGCCGCTCCCAGCCTGGCAGCTGCTGCTCCGGGCCTGGCTGCACCTGACCCGGCTGCTCTGGGCCCGGCTGCCCCGGGCCCGGCTGCTCCGAGCCTGGCCACTCCCGACCTGGATGCTCTGGGCTTGGCTACTGCTGTTCTGGGTTTGGCTGCTCCCACCCCGGCTGCTCTGGGCCCGGCTTCTCCGGGCCCGGCCACTCCGGGTCTGGGTGTTCCTGGACTGGCCACCCTGCTCCCCTGGCCACCCTGCTCCACCCTGCTCCGCCTCATGCCTGGCTGCCACTGCCCCAGGTCTGGCTACTCCAGTGCTGGCTGTTGATGCTCTGGTTCTGGCTGCTGTTGTTCTGGGGCCTGGCCGTTGCTGCTCCAGGTCTGGCTGCCACTGCCTTTTGCCTGGCCACTCTAGGCCTGGCCGTCGCTGTTCCAACATTCTGTCCTTTTTTTTTCTTTTTAAAACGCATTTATGTTGCAATGTTGGCTGGTGAGTTGAGTTCTGACTTAGTCTTTGATTTTTCAAGATCTTCTTTGTATTCTTTCTTAAGTAATTTTACTATTGTTTGCTCTCACTTGATTTCTTCACATTGAGAACTTCTTTGGTTTCTTCCTCCTTGTCCTGGGAGCTCAGCAGGTTGGCCTGTGGCACCCCTTTGTTCTCCGCGGGCTCCTGTGCTGCTTCATCCTGTTGCCGGGACGGCACCACCCAGGAAGCAGCCCCCGGCCTTGGCTCCATTGCCCGAGCTCAGTGGTCAAAGGCTCAGGGGCACTCACGCCCCCAGGGGCCCCGTGGCCCGCCTCCTTGCTGGTGCCCGGTTGGCTGGAGTCCGGCAGGGGCTTCCGCTCCCCTCCACGTTCCCCCAGCCTAGAGCTTTTTTTTTTTCTCCTTCCCGCTAGGGAAGTCCAGCATCAGAGTCAACAGACTGTCCTCTGCACGCAGTTTGCGCGAGTCCCACAGACTGTCCTCTGCGCGCAGTTTGCGCGAGTCCCGGGGGCCCGGCCTTTCGCCGCTCTCCCCGGACTCCACCTCACAGCCCCGTCTCCCTCTGCCTGAGCCTGGGTCCCCAGGGATTGGCCCAGAACTGGGGTTCGGAGCAGTCCGGACTGAGGCTCAGCACCGCCGGAGGCCTTGTTTCTTCCGGCTAGGGTAACCCAGCATCAGAGTCAACATTCAGTCCTCTGCGCACATTGCACGCGACTCCCGGGGCCCTGCCTTTCGCCGTTTTTCCGCCTCACGGCCCTGTCTCCTCCCGCCGGAGCCTGGGTCCCCAGGGTCTGGCCCATAACTGGGGCTCAGCGCTGCCGGTTCGGGGGGGCTCAGCGCTGCCGGTTCGGGGGTTCAGCCCAGGGTGGTCTGTTCCTAGTTTTGAACAATAACTTCCCAGTTCTCTCCAGCAGTGTGGGAGCCTTTCCATGCGCCAGCAGGTCAGCAGTTGGATTCCTGGTCAGAGCACATGCTTACCCATTAGACACGGTCCCGGGGGCTCAATGCAGATAACAGCCTGTGCCACACCAACCGGTTGTTTTGTTTTTTTTTAAATCCTGTGATCTAGTTATCCCTATTTGTAGGTGATGAAATGAGGTTCTGAGGTCACAGCACTGATTAGTGGTAGATTCAGGATTTGAACTGAGTAATGTGGATTCTCAGGCTTCCGCACTTCACCTTGTCCTGGTGTAAGAGCTTCAGAGGGTTGCTCCCCACACCCAATGTTCCCCAACCTAGGGAAGAGTTTATCTTTGCTTGTTTCTCATGTCTTCTCAGACACTGAGAAAACCACCTCGGACCCCACCAACACCCCCACCCCCACCAGTACCACCAGCAGCACCACCACCACAGATGGCCTCAGTAAGGAAGTTGTGGTCAGCCTGGCAGTGGCCAGCACTGTGCTCAAGATCGCAATTTTGGGACTGATAGTCTACTTCTGGTGGAAGAGAAGCCAAGGTGAGTGGTTCAGCACCCTGCTCTCTCCCCAGGCTTCCCAACTGGGTGTTTCTCATAATCACCTGCACCAGGATGATTGCAGATCCCTGCTGGCATGAGGTCTAGTCTTGGGAATCTTCATTTTCATGATCTCCTCAAGTGCTGTCTGGGGGTCAAAACCATGGCTCTAAACCAGCCCCTCTCCAAAACTTTTCTTGACTTAATCATTTCTCATCAGTCCTCACCTTTTTGTTCATGGAGAGGGGATGTCTGCCTGAAAAATTAAGGAGAGAGAAGAAGAAACAGGAAGTTGACTGAGCTCAACAAGCATTGATGGGATACCTGTTTTCAAGGGCCTGACTTGTAATTAGAGATACAAGAGTAAATAAAGCAGAGACCCCTTCATGGAACTAATTGGGGAGGGCAAGATAGGGGCAGCTGCCTGAAAGGCTTATTGATTCATTTGGAAAGAGCTAAAGTAGTTGTGGTAAAGGAGGGGGTAATCAAGGAGGACTTCCCAGAGGAAGTGACACCTGCAAAAAAAAAGTCTCAAATAATAAAAAAGAATTAGCCAGGCAAGTGGCAATTAGCTGGGTGGTGTAGAGATCACTGTTCTTTTAGGAGAAGGAAACTATGTGTGGAACTGTAAGCAGGTCAGTGCTATGGAGGAGGCAGGAGATGGGAAAAGAGGACCTTGTAAATCACATCCAAGAGCCTTAGATCCCAAAGGCAATGTGAAGCAGCCAGATGGCCACCTTGCTTGGGATTGCAGATACATCCCGTCTGCAGTGGAGGAACCGGACATGGGCCAGACTAGGGTCAGTCTAATGCAGTGGCAGCTTGAGTGGAAGGAGAGAGCCAGATTTTGGAAAGGATTAAGAAGGAACAAGTAAGATGTAGGTGTGAAGGAGCCAGAAGTCCCATGTTTACAGCTTGGGTGAACAGGCTATGATGAAACCACCAAGTGAATTAAGGAACATAAAAGGTCAAAGACCATGGTTCAGGGAGAAAAATGATTCTTCAACTAGATGAGCATCAGCACTTATAACTATTAAGCTACAATAATTAAAATGATGCAATACTAGCATAAAAAAAAGATAAAAGATTGTAGGGAGGGGCTGTAGGGTCAAGCCTCAGATTGACCTGTGGCAGGGCCCCAGCTTGGAGGGCAGAGCCCTCCTAGAATAATTAAGCCTGACCTTGTAGCCCTCCCTAGTACCTTGCTGGGTAGTTAATGGGCAGTGGGAGGTGCAACAAGTGCTGCCTAAACAAGGTGAGACTCACAAGAACATTGTAAACATGTTAACCACTACCCTTGTTTTGATCTCACTATAAAATAAAGCCTCAGCCTCATCCAGGCATGGGAGATCTAGCTGTATTCTCTTGTCTGTTGTTTCTTTAATCTTCACTGCCCCTCCTCAGGCTCACCAAACCCTTGGCTGTGCTGGCACAGCACAAAACATAAAGTAATGGAAGAAAAGAAAAAATTCAAATATAGGCAGGATAAAAATAATAGTAGACCCAAATATATGCAGGAATTTAGTATGTTAAAAGGTAGCATGTCTAACCAATACATAGTAGTAGAACAATTGCATAACCATTTGAGAAAAATAACATCATCTCCCTACCTTATCATTTGCACCAAAATAAATTTCATGAAGATCAAAGATTCAAAGAAAAAAAATAACCCTAGTACTGGAAGAGAGCATGTGAGACTATTTTATAATCATGGGGAGGAAATGGCCCCCTTAAGTAAGACATAAAGCTTAAAAGCCATGAGTAAAAAATATTTGTAAGTTCAACTGCATACAAATTGTGTTTAAATTTTGCAGTGCAGAATCACTTGCGGAGAGAAACCAAGATGGCGGCATAGGTAAACACCTAACTGCAACCTCACACAACAATTTCACAACACAGAATACTAACCACTATACGATCACGGCGAGCTACTGGGGATTCGCACAACAATTTCAAAAAAATACAACTAAAATACAAAATGGACATTATCCAGAACTACAGGAAAATTGACTGACTGGAAATTCTACAACTTGAAGGAAAGAAAAAACCAGAAGGAAAATCAGCCGGCTCAGTCCTCTCCCCACGTGCGCACGTGCCTCGCTGGTGTTCCCTAGTGGGAAGGAGATAAAAGCTCCAGACTGTGCTGAGCCCCAGTTCCAACTGCCTGAATCCCAGTTCTAGGCCAGACTCTGGGGACCCAGGCTCATACGGAGGGAATCTGGGTGGAAACTCAGGGGAGCAGCAAAAGGCAGAGCCCCGGAGGTGCCCACATTGCGCGCAGTGGACCAACTGTTAACTGTGCCGCTGGATTGCACTAGCGGGAAGGAGACAAAAGCTCCGGACTGTGCTGAACCCCACTTCCAACTGCACTGAACCCCAGTTCCGGGCTCATTGGGGGAGAGACTGTCTGGTAGCAGGCGAAACTTGAGGGCACCTTTCTCTCAGAGGTGCTTGCAGCGAGTACCGAAGCAGCGAGTACCGAAGGTCAGTGAGGAACACTGAGACTCAGGAAACTCATGGGGCAGGGCTGACGGAAGCCAAGACTATAGGCTCCAACCTGAAACTCCATCCCATCCAAGCTGAATACAGTGACTTTTAAGGCTACCAACTCAGGGAAGCTGCAAAAATGCTGAGACAAGGACACAGATCACAAACGAAAGAAATTGAGGACAAAAAGTGACTGGATATAGAGTTCAAAACCACACTTATAAGGTTTTTTAAGAATTTCCTAGAAAAGGCTGATAAAATAAATGAGACTTATGAGGATATGAAAAGGGATCAACTAGAAATAAAGAATACATTCTCTGAAATAAAAAAAAATATATTATACAGAGTCCTAAAAACAGAAAGGAAGATCACAAGAATCAAGTCAAAGATTTGGAACATAAAGAGCCAGAAGACACTTCTCTGCAGAAGCAAGAAGACAAGAGAATCCAGAAAGTTGAAGATAGTGTAAGAAACCTCTGGGACAACTTCAAGTGAACCAACATCAGAATTATGAGGGTCCCAGAAGAAAAGCGAGAACAAGATACTGAAAACATATTGGAATAAATAGTGAAAGAAAACTTCTCCCACCTGGTGAAAGAATTAGACTTACAAGTCCAGGAAGTGCACAGAACCCCAAGCAAAAGGAATCCAAAGAGGACCACACCAAGACACATCATAATTAAAATCCCAAGAAGCAAAAGACAAAGAGAGAATATTAAAAGCAGCAAGAGCAAAGCAGAAAGTTAGCTATAAAGGAGCACCCATACAATTGTCAGCTGATTTCTCAACAGAATCCATGCAGGCCAGACAGAAATGGCAAGAAATATTCAAGGTGATGAATAGCAAGAACCTACAGCCAAAAATACTCTACCCAGCAAAGCTATCACTCAGAATCCAAGGCCAGATAAAGAGCTTCACAAATAAAAAAAAGCTAAAGGAGTTCATCACCACCAAACCAGAATTATATGAATTGCTGAAGGGGGTTCTTTAGGAAGAGGAAGAAGATAAAGATAAAAATTATGAACAGCAAATACGTAACTATCAACAAGTGAATCTAAAAACCAAGGGAATTTTAAAAATCTGATGAACAATATTAAGTGTTGAATATAATAGAATCAGAGGTATGGAAGGGGAGTGAACTGATGATTCTCGGGGAAAAGGAGAGTGGGGGGTGTGGGAAGAGACTGAACATAAACTGTGCACCTATGGCTGAGGACAATGGGGGGTGGGGAAAGATCAGAGGGTGGGATGGGAAGCTGGTGGAGAGGAGCAATGGAGGGGGGGAAATAAGGAACATTTGTAATAATATGAACAATAAAGATTTATTTTAAATAAAAAATAAAATAAAATAAACTTTGCAGTGCAAAAAAACACCGTGGTTGTTTCCTGAGTGAGGATGAGGGTTGAAGATGATGAGAAAATGTGACATCGTCACTGAGGAAAGGGAAGATAGTGTTTAAGGATTCAACTCGGATGAGAAGCTGTGAATCGGTAGAAGCATCATTTCACATGATGGTGTTTTTCCCCAGCAGTATTCACCCAGGCAGTTTAAAACCTGTAGGACCTGTCAATTCTGTTCTGGTTAGCAGCTAGCATCAGAGATCAGAAGCAACCATAGCTTAAATAACACAGTTTATTGTTTTTCTCTCATAAAATAAAGAACCTGGAGGCAGAAAACGGAGGCCACTGTCCCTAGGCACCCAGGCTCCTCCCTTTCTGCTAACTGTCCTGGATACTGGCTCCTATTCTGAAGCTGGTCTCCTGGTCCAAGGTGGCTGCTAAGGCTCTGGCCATCATTTCTGAATTCAAGTAGGAAACAGATGGAAGGGGGAAAGGATAATAGATTATGCCCAGTTGTCCGTTCTCCTTTTAAAGAGCCTTTTTGAAAGTCATACCCAGACTTCCCTTATATCTTATTGGCCAATTTTTTTTTTAATTTATTTATTTCAGAGAGAAAGGGAGAGAGAAAGATAGAAACATCAATGATGAGATATAATAATTGATTGGCTGCCTCCTGAATGCTCCTGAAGGGGGAATCGAGCCACACCCTGGGCATGTGCCCTGTCTTGGCATCAAACCATGACCTCTTGGTTCATAGGCCAATACTCAACCACTGAGCCATGCTGGTGGGGCATTATTGGCCAGAATTCAGTCATATGTCCCACACCTATCTGTAGGGGAGCACACTGCCACTCCAAATAAAATCAAGGCTCTGTAACTGAGTAAGAGGAGGTGAGTGGATACTGGGTAATAAGCCACATTCCATGCCATAGACAGATGCAGGATTGTCAGCTCGATGCGATTTGTCAGCTCAATGTGGCCTGACAGGGGAATCAGGAGGTCAAGAAGCTGGTGAAAGGGCACCAATGGAGAATGGGGGACTCTGAGTCAGCCTGGATAACCTGAAAGAAAGTGGATTATCAGGGGACAAGAGTTCAGGGAGGTCAAAGCACAGGTGTGTTTGGGGGGTTGGGAGGTGAGGACAAAAGAGAGCTGGGAGGAAAGAGAGCTACAGCATAAAAATAATACTAGCATGTAATATTTCAGAGTTTTCTTTCCCGGTGATTAAAAAAATAATGTCCAGGGCATGGGGGTGGAGGGGAGTGGAGGTCACTGGAGTTGAGTCAGTGCCTGAGAGGATTGTCTCTGTGGATGGCAGACCTCACAGGAAGGTGGCCCTGGTGGAGAGATGTATGTGGACCAGGGCCCAATGCTTGGGAAATGCTGGAGAGACTTGAGAGGGAGGGGGAGGGGGAGAGTGCAGGGATGTGGGAAAGAACAGCAGAGTCCTCGGTGGAAGAGAGAACAGGCTGCAGTGTACACAGATTCCAGCCCTGAGCTTCAGAGGTGGGAGAGAGAAACAGGCAGCGCTCCAAGGAAAGCATCAGAGGCTGGTTTGTCACAGCAGGAGGAGCGATGGTGCCTGTGACAAGATGGGGGAGGAGGAGAGAAGGTGGGCCGGGCTCAGCAGTGAAAGGAGAAGGTTGGGGGGATTGCAAGGAGTTCAAGGAGAGTGGAATGAAGCAGAGGGAAAGTTAGGAAGAGAGGGCAGGGTGAAGGGGCACAGGGTGCAGAGAAGAGCTGCTCTCCTGACTTGGTGTTGAGGACAAAAGCAGGAGAGGTGGGGCCGCTTCAGGATGCCAGCTGGTGCCACTCTGAGTCCTAGGCCCTCCCAGCCTGGGTTTCAGCAGAGCTGCTCTGCTGCCCTGGTTTATCCGAGGGCGGTCTCAGAGTAGGATGGAGCAGAGAGGGCAGGAGAGATGCTGTGCGTGGATGGCACACTGACCTGCTGTGGTCCCTCTGCAGGTCTGTGAACTGGAGCCAGAGCCCCAGCTAGGTGAGTGTTCGTCTTCACCGTGAGACAGAGGGGCGGGGGAGGGGGAGGACTTAGGAAACAGGAAGTATCCTTATGAGAACAGCGCTAGAAAGCCTTTCACAGCTGCTCTCACCCTCGACTTTCCCATCCACATGTTCCCACGTGCCATAACAGGTCAGCACTTCTCTTACTGAGAACAGAGGATCTAATTACTCTCTCTGGTTCTTTCCCAGAATGTCACCCTTTTCTCTTTCTCTGGTATCCCCTTTTCACCTTCTTTTGTCCCCCTTCCTAAGTTTCTCCTTCTGTTCATCCTATTTTCTTTCCATCTTGGACATCATCCTTCCGGAACACATCTACCTTTCCCACATTTTCCCTCTTTTTGCTCATTGTACTTTCTGCCTTTCCCCCTGGTGAGTGAGGTGCTCAGAGGAACCACAAGAATCATCTGCCTCCAGCTGCTCTACCTTCTGCCTTTTCTCAGAGCACCTTCCCCCTCAGCTCCCAGCCTGGCCTCCTCTCCTCTGTGCTGGGATCTCCTTCCTGCCCTGAGCACTGGTCCTCCTCACCCTCCCACCAGTTTCCTTTTCTCCATCCTTCCTCCCATTTCTACACTTTCCCTTTCCTAAACCCCCTCCCACTTTTCCTCCCTCCCTGCCTTTTGCCAGCTGCCTTACTCAGGTCCCATCCCAGGACGGTGTCTCCTCCTGGGGACCAAGGCCTGACACCCACCCAAAGGCTGTGAGATGGCGTCACTGTTCTCCTTCTCCAGCTCTTACAGAGGCAGCGCCAGCAGAGAGGACAGGAATCCACCCTCCGGTTTCCCCTCCGGTGCCCTTCCTACAACAGTCCTGCTTCAGGGGGCACTCAGGGCTACACCACAAACTGCCTCTCAGACTCGTCCAGGCAGCCTCCTCTGAGAGCCTCAAACCATTGCCTACATCTTCTGAGTCGGTCCAAGCAGGTCGCAGAGCCCCCAAGAGAACCAGCCTGATGCAGGTTTTACTCCTTTCTGCCCAGCCTCTAGCCCACTTCCCACCCTTTCCTTCCCACGCAGGGGATCCTTCCCTAACACTGAGGAGGAGAACGAGAACATTGGGCATAAAGGTCAGTTCTACCACAACCACTCCCCGCTCTCCACCTTGGCCCTTCCTTCTTCCTTACACTCTCTCCCCACACGAGCCCCCAGCGTTTTCCTCTTTCCCATGCCTCACCCCTCCCTCCCCCGGACCCTGGTCCTGACCTAGCAGATGACCTCACTACTGAGCCCTCTGCCCATTTCTCTCCCCTGGCTGCCATGCTCTGATCCTGGCACTTTTTTTTTTTTTTTTTTAGGACTACATAGAAACTCCAAGTCGGACCCAAAGGTAAGAAGTTCAGACTAGAGCCTGAAAGAATTAAAGAGAAGCTTGGAGAAGAAGGGGTGGAAAGAATAGAGGGACGGAGGGATCAGCGGGGCACTCAGGTATGAGGTCACTCATGTGAGATGAGGTCAGCTCCCCCTCCACTTCTAACCCCCTTCTCTTTCTGTTCCCACACAGGTTGATGGCATCCTCTATGCCTCGCTTACCCTCTCCAATTTGACCTCACCCTCACCGCCAGCACCTCCTCGCCACCTTCTCCACGAGAGCCCCCAGGAAGAGACCCTATACTCTATCTTGGAGACCTAAGGAGCCCTGGCTGGTTTGGCTCAATGGATAGAGCGTCAGCCTGTGGACTCAAGGGTCCCAGGTTCAATTCCAGTCAAGGGCATGTACCTTGGTTGCGGGCACATCCCCATAAGGTGTGTGCAGGAGGCAGCTGATTGATGTTTTTCTCTCATCGATGTTTCTGGCTCTCTCTTCCTCTCCCTTTCTCTCTGTAAAAAAATCAATAAAATATATATCTATTTTTAAAAAGACTTAAGGAGTGTGACTGAATGATGATCTCTGAAGAGTAAGCTGCACAGAGGGATCACCACTTCCCATAATAATCCCAGCCAGACACAGGGGTCAAAGGCCACCAAGGACCTAAGAAAAATAGCCATCTGTTCCATTCTTCACCTCGTCCCCTTGCTGACAAAAATAAAAGTACCTGTAGGATTTGCCTGCATGCATCTAAGAAAAAAATTGATTTTAACTTCTGTCCTTCTTGCCAAAAATAAACTACAATACATAGCTCATGCCCAAGATCCCTTCTCTAGTGCTTCTGTTCAGTGACTGCAAGTGTCTAAACACTGTTAGGCAGCCTGTAACCCAAGGTCTGCCCTCCAGCCTAACCACTCTACTTCCCTTGCAATAATAACTGACATCATTTAAGCCTTTACATGCATCACCTCATTTAAACATAAGCAACCCTAGCCTAAACCGGTTTGGCTCAGTAGATAGAACGTCAGCCTGCGGACTGAAGGGTTCTGGGTTCGATTCGGGTCAAGGGCATGTACCTTGGTTGCGGGCACATCCCCAGTAAGGTGTGTGCAAGAGGCAGCTGATCAATGATTCTCTCTCATCGATGTTTCTAGCTATCTATCCCTCTCTCTTCTTCTCTGTAAAAAATCAATAAAATATATTAAAAAATAAAAATAAAAAAATAGCCAAAACCGGTTTGGCTCAATGGATAAAGCGTCGGCTTGGGGACTGAAGGGTTCCGAGTTTGATTACCCTCTCCAATTTGACCTCACCCTCACCGTCAGCACCTCCTAGCCACCTTCTCCACGAGAGCCCCCAGGAAGAGACCCTATACTCTATCTTGGAGACCTAAGGAGCCCTGGCTGGTTTGGCTCAATGGATAGAGCGTCAGCCTGTGGACTCAAGGGTCCCAGGTTCAATTCCAGTCAAGGGCATGTACCTTGGTTGCGGGCATATCCCCAGTAGGGGGTGTGCAAGAGGCAGCTGATGGATGACTCTCTCTCATCGATGTTTCTAACTTTCTATCTCTCCCATCCTCTCTGTACAAAATCAATAAAATATATTTTTTAAAAAATAAAAATAAAATAAATAAATAAATAAACATAAGCAACCCTATATGGCATAGGATGTACTCATTTGAGATACGAAATGAAGAACCAGAATGGTCATAGGTTCCCAAGGCCACACAGCCAACAAATAGCGAGCCAGGATTTGAACTTACTTCTTCTCTTCTCGATGTCCTTCTCCCAGGACTAAGATGTCATTGCCTTCCCAGATCCCTATACTGTACAGGCCTCCCACGGAAACAATGATGTCAGTGACATGGAGGAGGACATGGAGTTAGTGACATGGAGTTCTCAGGTAAGGTATCGTGAAGCAGCGATAGCTGAACCATGGTCTTTGCTGCCCTCTTCTGGGAGTGAGGAGGGAATGGTGTGGTGTGATCTGGGAAAGGCAAAGTATAATATAAAAAGGACTTAACCAAACACTGAACTTTTAGCCTCACCAATTCATGCACACACCCATCCCAGTACATTTACAACAATAACAAACAAACAAAAACACAGAAATTCTTTGCACCGTCTTCTATCAAGAGGTGGAGGCTATTTCCTCATCCCCACATCTGGATTGGCCTTATGGCTTGCTTTGAAGATGTTGTAAGTGATATTGTGCAATTTCTGAACCTCAACCTGAACTGCCAGTGGCCTTGCATCTTCTGTCCTAACACTGGGATCCCTCTGCCACCATGTGAACAAGCCTGGGCTGGCTCCTGGAGACTGAGAAACCACGGGGAGAGAGGCCCCGCCGGTTCACCAATTCCAGCTGAGGTATCCGATGAGTGATGAGGCCATCCTGGATCATTCAGCTCCAGCCAAGGCAGTCTAGATAACTCACGGGATTGTAAGAAGTTATCTTTGCGGTGTTAAGCCACTGCTTTTTGGGGTGGTTTTTTGTACAATAAAAGCTAATTCACTCATTCTTTAGATGACTTTTTTAAAAAAATATTTTATTGATTTTTTACAGAGAGGAAGGGAGAGGGGTAGAGAGCTAGAAACATCGATGAGAGAGAATCATCGACCAGCTGCCTCCTGCACACCCCCTACTGGGGATGTGCCCGAAACCAAGGCACATGCCCTTGACTGGAATTGAACCTGGGACCCTTCAGTCCGCAGACCGACGCTCCTCCACTGAGCCAAACCGGTTTCGACTTTAGATGACTTTTAAAGCATATTCATAATGGTCTGGTTGTTTCCAATCATGCTTTTGTCTGTTTTCATCCATTCCTTGATCCTTTTGGAATGTAAACACAAGAAAAAACTCCTCTCCAAACAAGCTCTTATATTTTCTATTACTACAAAAGGAAAAATACAAAATCCAGTGTGTGTGTGTGTGTGTGTTGCTAGGAAGTTTGGATTTGTCAATTATGACATTCATGAGTCATGTCATCCAGAGCCGTTTTGGTGGAGTGGTTAGAATAAAGCCAGACTGAGATAGTGAATGTAGTGTTCAGTTTCAGGAAGTATCCTGATAAAATTTTCAAGTTCCTGATAAAATTATCTTCACCTACCTATTTCTTTTTAATCGTTATGTTAATAACTAGAGGCCAGATGCACAAAATTCGTGCACTTGGGGTGCGGGGGAGGGAGGGGATGGGATTTCTCAGTCCTCACAGTCCCAGAGCCCTCATGGGATGTCCAACTTATGACTTAGGCCAGTTCCCCACAGCAGTCAGTCATCCTTAGCACTGCTCACCAGCCATAAGCCCGGCTTCTGGCTGAGCAGCACTCCCCCCACACACACACCCCATGGGAGCACACTGACCACCAGAGGGCAGCTCCTGCATTGAGTATCTGCCCCCTGGTGGTTGGTGTGCATCATAGTAACTGGTCGTTCTGCCATTAGTTTGATTTGTGTATTAGCCTTTTATTATATAGGATACTATCTATACTAGAGGCCTGGTGCACCAGTGGGGTCTCTTGGTCTGACCTGTGAGGATCAGACTGAAACCATCTCTCCAACATCTCCCGAGAGGTCCCTGTGCATAATTGGGGCTGGGGCAGGACCCCAGGAGGGCTCCAGGGTGTGACCAGCCCATCTCACCAAGTCTTGATCAGCTGGACCCCAGCAGCAAACTAACTGACTGGTCGGAGCATCTATCCCCTGGTAGTCAGTGTACATGATAGCATCTGGTCAAATGGTCAAACAATCAAAGGGACTAGGACATTAGACTTTTATATATAGATTATATACATACACCTGTGGTAGCCACTTGGAATCCTTTTTGAAAATAGACAGAGTTCGCCGAAACCGGTTTGGCTCAGTGGTAGAGCGTCGGTCTGTGGACTGAAAGGTCCCAGGTTCAATTCCAGTCAGGGGCATGTACCTTGGTTGTGGGCACATCCCCAGTAGGGGGTGTGCAAGAGACAGTTGGTTGATGTTTCTTTCTCATCGACGTTTCTAGCTCTCTATCTCTCTCCCTTTCTCTCTGTAAAAAATCAATAAAAAATATATATTTTTAAAAAAGAAAAAAAAAGAGACATAGTTGAAATTGTGAAGAGTCTCTTACCTAAAATCGAGCTTTTAGCCCTCAGCATGCCTTCATTCTTATCACAAACATTTGTCTCTCCAGGAATGGGACCAACAAAGCTCTCCTTCAGGGCTTCTCTGACGCACAGCCAAATGGCAGCCAAGAAAAAAGAGCAGCTTGAATGAGTGCAACTGGGATAGTTTGGAGTAGAGGCTAGCTGACCTAGAGAGTTATGTTCATTACTTACTTATGTTAATTACCTAGAGTAATTAAGGAATGGGCATTGGAGTCTAGAAGTCTTCATTCACATGCTTGCTCTGACATTTACCAACTCACTTCACTTAATTTCCCTATTTTAAGAGGATGGTTATAGTACATGCACTTGGCACACAGTAAACACACACACACACAAAAAGTTAGCTTTTTACTAGTTAGCGTGTTATATCCTTCTTCTCATGACCCCCATACCATGCTGGACCTCTAGCTCCCAAGCTCTCTGGATTCTACCACTGAGATATGGTGTCCTGCTCCAGATGTTTCTTCTGCACTGTTGATAGGATTTTGGGCTGCCTAGTGGGCCATGTCATCCACATGATGAGGAATTCCATCCCATGGCAGTGATGGGTGTATCTGTGTGACACTGCCATGAATGTCCATGACAGGAGATACCAAGACACCTGGAGCCTTATGAAGAGGTGAATAGGGAGGGCTTTGAGAGACAACCCTTTGTTTGCATACACCGACTTGCTGTTGGAACTTCTCAGAGGCTGGGCAGGGATTGACATCTAAATCCTAGACAAGGAATCAGAGCTGGGTAACAGGTAACAGATAACCAGGTAGATAAGAAAAATAGCATATATTGCTGGGACTGGTTTGGCTCAGTGGATAGAGTCTCGGCCTGCAGACAGAAAGGACCCAGGTTCGATTCTGGTCAAAGGCATGTATTTTGGTTGTGGGCACATTCCCAGTGCAAGCGGCAGCTAATTGATGATTCTCTCATCGATGTTTTTAACTCTCTATCCCTCTCTGTAAAAAAAACAATAATTAAAAAATCAATAAAATATATTTTTTAAAAGAAAGAAAAATAGCATATATTTATCTCATGGCATTTATAGACAAAATATTGAGTTCTACAGCATTCAGAGAAGTATCTTGCATAGTTTCTGCTTTCAAGGGGAATTATGGGGAGAGGACATTTCCGGGGGGGAGGAGGGGGAACGACCAATATCAGGCTAAGTGAATAATATAGAGACTGCATTACAGGAGTTTAAAGTAGGGTTGGGAATTGGGAACACCAGGGAAGGTTTCTGTAGGTGACCTGAGTTGAGCCTGGAAAGTGAAGAAGAGAGGGAAGACAACAGGGAAAGAACAAAATCAAAGGCCTCCGGGAGAAAGAGGGGGTGTGGCTTGTCTAGAAGCAGGCAGTCTAGCCAAACTGGACAAACTCTGACTTGAAAAGGACCAGAAAGTTAAGTTTGGATTATCCTGCAGGTAATGTGGAGTCATTGAATATTTATGAGTAGAGGAAACTAATCATATAGGACAAGTGTTCCTGAGAGTTTTCAGAAGAAGCAGCTTTAAAGAAACTTCTAAGCATACACCCTGGGCCCAACTTCCTAATACCCTAAGCACTGCTTTCCCTCTGTTATCCCTCTCTCCACCTATCCTCTCTGCCTTTAATGGCTCATTTCAGCAGTGTCTGTATCCATTCAGAACTCCTCTTGCTGCAAACAACTGAAAACATAGTCAAAGAAGCTTAGGCAGGAAAGGAGCTGACTAGTCAGTCCAGGTGACTGATGAGAGGCAGAGGATCTGACTTTCAAACTTGTCATCAGGTCTGTTTCTCTTAACTGCTCATTTTTGCCCCTGCTGATCAGCTTCACTTTTAGTTTTCATTTGGTGGCCCCAGCAGCAGTGGGCTGTCTGGACAAATGGCAGGATGATGCATCTTTCCATGTCAGTCTTGTAGGGAAAAAACTGGACACCTTTCCACTAGCTCTAGCGAAAACCTTAATATTACCAAGACTAGACTTGTTTAGGTGACCTGTCCATCCTGAAGACAGTGTGGCCAAAGTGATGTGTTGCCCCGAATGACCAGGCCTTGGTAACGAGCAGAATACCTATGTTCTGGAAAGTAAGTGAGGACAGGAATTTGTCCAAGGTAAGAGTGCACAGCTCTAAATAGCCCCTGACTTCCCCACAATCCTGAAACCAGAGGATCTACCTACATGGCTGTGGAGACCACTCAGAGCACAGTGCTGCATTAGGAGGCCTACAGCTGGGCCCTGTACATCCTTTACACACCAGTGGCTTCCCTGCACTCTAAGGTCAGGGACTGGCCAGGACCCTCACACCGTGGTAACGCTGGGGTCTACTTTACCACCTTCCCTGCGGCCATCTTTATCTGGGCCCCTGTGGTTGCACTCTTCTGGTCATCAAGCTGGTCAACACTCTACAAGTCCATGTGACTGGTTCACTCTCCAGGTGAACTGGCTTTTCTGAGCTGACTTTGCTGACCTCTGTGTGGCCTTTGTAGACACCTGGGAAATGACCTCCAGTTCGGTCCTGCCTGGTAGCATCCACCCAGGGAAGCTCATCACCCACAAGGTGGACTTCCCCCTCTCCATCTGCCACCCCTAAGCACTCTGCCATTCCTAGAGCTGTGTGGACAGAGGGCAAGGGGGCTGCGATAGTGGTGAAGAGGACTTCTGAGATATGGGCCAGCTGCCATCAACTCCTATCACCTGGAAGACTGCAAAGCTTCCCAACTACAGCCAATTCAATTCTTGCTCCACTCTAACCCCTTTTCTATTCAGAACAGGAGTGATTGTTTTAAAATATGAGAACAGGTCATTGGCTTGCTCAAAAGCCAAGGCTTCAATCTCAGGAGTTCTGCAGTTTCATTTATTGCCACTTCCAACTCCATGCATCCTTGCTGCTCAAGTAGATCAAGCTGTCCAGCTTTCTCCTCATTCTGTTCTCTGATTAAATATCATCTCCTTGCCGAAACCGGTTTGGCTCAGTAGATAGAGCGTCAGCCTGTGGACTGAAAGGTCACGGGTTCTATTCCGGACCAAGGACATGCACCTTGGTTGCGGGCATATCCCCAGTAGGGGGTGTGCAAGAGGCAGCTGATCAATAATTCTCTCATCGATGTTTCTAACTCTCTCTCTTCCTCTCTGTAAAAAATCAATAAAATATATATTTTTTAAATAAATATCATCTCAGAGGCTTTCCCTGACTACCCACCCCTCAGAACTGTATCCCCTTCTCAGCCTGTGTGGTGTTTTTTTTTTCTCATATCACTAACCAAACCTATATTTGATTTAGTCCTATTACTGTTTACTTGTCTGTTTCAATAGAATATAATATCCATGAGGGACAGGGAGTTTTTCTAACTTGTTCACTGTTGATGGTGTTTGAGACAGAGCAAGAGGTAAATAACTATGCCTTGAATAAATTAATGTCAGATGGCCGTGGTGTTTGTTATTTCTATGTCCTGCACCTTCTCTCAGCAACCTGCAGCCTCATGAGAAATCAGCAATTAGCCAAAAGCTGTCCCTTGTTTGCTGTTGATTACATTTGCATTAACTGTCGCTGTTAATATTTCACATTTACATTAAGGCGGTATGATTTTTCAATGCAGTTTCCAAATTTTATTTGGGACAACTCTCCCAAGGATATTCTCCCCTTTTGTTAACGAAGCCCCCAGAGGTGGCATAGCTGGTCCGTTCTTGGTCCTAGTTTGGTTGCAAAAATAGTGATATTAGTGACAGCAGTATCAGAGCACTCTGTCCTCGCTGGAAGTGACCACCCTGACTCCTCTGACTGGCTGCCTGGGTGGGTCCTCTCCTCATCTAGACGGCAGTTCCTTGGCTGGGGGGTTGGGTGGGGGGGCTGTTTTCGCAGGCGCCCAGAGTCTTCCCGGTCTCCTCCTCGTTTGTGGCCACAGGATCCTTTGTCTCTGGATTCCAGGCTTCCCTGACCACCCTGAAGGGCGCTCCGTGACCAGGCACGACCACGTCGGCAGTGCCCAGGACCCTCTTCCGGCTCCGCTCCTGGGCCACCGGGTCTTCGCTCAAGGCCTGCCAGAAGTCCTCGTCCCCATCGCTCTCAAACACGTCGCCCACCACTGCTACGGTGCCCATGACCGTGCCCGCCACCATCACGCTCACGTCCCGCTGGCCCCCGTGGCCGGGCGTGGCCCACACCTCGAGTCCCGGCCCCAGCCGCAGGGGCCGCTCCTCCCCGAGCCCGTGGGGAAGGTAGCGGCCCCCGGGGAGGCAGAAGTCGTGCGAGACCAACAGGGCGGCCCCTGGGAACAGCCCCAAGTTCCCGATGTGATCCGAGTGTCCGTGGGTTCCCACCACCAGAGTCACGTTGGCGGGGGCCACGCCCTGCTCCGCCAGGGCCTTCAGGAGCCTCTCCCGGGCCCAGGGGCCTCCGGTGTCCACGAGGATGGGGCCCCGGGCGGCCTCCTCCAGGGCGGTCTTGGCCTCGCCGCTCTCGGGCCGCGGCTGGAGGCGACTGGAGGCGCAGGGCAGGATGAGGGTCACCGAGCCGTCGGCGCGCACGGCGCCGCCCACTCCCTCCGGCTCCACGTAGCCCCGCAGCAGAACCACCACGGAGAAGGGGTCGCCGGGCAGCCGCAGCGGGGCCTCCCCGCGCAGCCGCTCGGTCCGCACCACACTGCTCATGGCCGGCGGAAGCGGGGCTGCGGGCCCAGATCCAGCCCCTTCGGGTCCCCACACTCGCCGGAACCTCCAACAAGTGGTCTCCGTTCTGCCGCCCCCTCCCTTAAAGTGGTATCGCCCTCGGCCCCCTTCCGAGGATGGATGGTATCGCCCAACCTTTTTCTTCCACGTGAAGCGGCGCGTTTTTGGGGCCCCGCCTTGCCACCGTCTCGTGGTAGGTCCACGCTCGTCACCCTCCCAAGGAGGTCCTTTTTAGTTCCTTCACTATTACCTAAGCCGCTCTCTACCTTGGACCCAGCTTTACGCCCCTTAGGCTCTGAGGCAAGGATGGAAACGGGGGAAAACGCGAAGGATTTTGTCCCCTGCGAGCGCCCATACACCCAAGTATGGCGGCCGGCACGGGACCACCCAAGGAGTTCTAACCCGGCTGCGCTTTCCAGCCAGCGCGGACCCGGACCCGGGCCCAAAGACCGTCCTCGGCGTGGTATCCCTGCCAGCTTCCCTGGGCTGCAACGTTATTACCAAGCACCCTTAGCTTCTACCAGGACGGCAGCCAACCGCCCTTTTCCCTGGGCGGGGCGCTGCCACATCAGCCAGCTACGATGTGTGCACGGTAGTTGATTGAAATTTAGGTTGCAACCGATACTTGAAAAAAGAAAGAAAGAAAGAAAGCTTACTAGCGATATATAAAAAATCTGGCACTTGTGAAATTATGTGGCGGGCCATCGGTGAAATTAATATGAAGTAGACTAAGTGTGTCTACTCCACCTAACTATTAATATCAACATCACTCCATCCAATGTCCCTCCCCTCTTCGGTCACAGTTTGTGGGCATGTAGCCTTCTGGACGCAGGCGGTGTATATAAGTTGCGGAGAATGCCCTTCTGGCTTCATCCTTGTAAGGGTCTAAAAAAAGGCAAAGTGATGTTCCCAAGGTCCACAACTCCTGTGCCATTGCCGACCTCTGGGTGGGGTTTAAAAGTAGAGATTTTTAAAGGGGAAAGCCTTCACTATTGTCTCCACACCTTACAGTTAAGGGAGCTAGATGACAGGCAGAGGGTACGGCTTCTACCTACTGCTCACACCTTTCTCCCCATAGCTATGTTATGCTGTACCATCAGGATTCTGCCTGAGACCAGATGGGAGAGAACTACAAGCTTAGGGGTGAGACACACTCCACACACACACCATAAAAGCTGTGGGGTAGAGAGAGCTCAGACTTCAGAGAACTCTCCATGACCCCTGCCCTTCCTGGAGGCTCAAAAACAAGGGTCAAAGATCCTCTGGGTCATGTTTGGAGTGGCCTGGTGTGCTGGTCATCTCTTCTTCCTTGTCTTTCTCCTCCTCTTGATCTTGTTCCTCCTCCCCTTCTGTCTTCTCTTGCCCTTCTGTGATCTCCTTTCCAGTCCACGTTTCTTGTAGACATGCTAAGTTGGGTGACAGAAAACAATAGATATTGGCCCTGTGGATAGGGGGTGTTGTGGCCTGGCAGGAAAGGGACCAGCCCACACACTTACCAGTTTCAGAAGCTGCGAGCACATGACCTTCACAGAGAAAATGCTGCAGGGGCTGCTCCTGATGGTGGAAGTACCAGTTTTCCACAACTTCTTCAAACTCCTCCAGCATTTTCTCACACTGGTCAAGTGGAAGGGTCAGAAGAGTATTTGCTCTGCTGGGCTCTGGGAACCTTCCTCTTTGCTCTTTACTACCTGTCTCCCCACCCCCCTCCACCCCCCATCTTGGAGATGCAGGTAGCCAGGAGTTTAAACGTGGCTTACTAAATGTGTGATCCCCATTCATTCAACAAACCTTTACTAACACCTACTCTCCTGAGTAGGTTATTAAACTCTAAGTTTCAGCTCCTTGTCTGTAAGATGGGAAATGGTAATCAGGTTGTTGTAAGGGCAAAATGAGGCAGCAGCTGAAAAGTATGTGGCTCCAAATTCGCACATGTTGGTACTCAGTAAGTGGCAATGCTTATTATTAGTCTCCATTATTACTTCTTGATATACTCCAGGTGCTTGTCCATCAGTGACAGTCCTCACTCTGCCCCCTTCTCCCTGCTTAGAGGTAGAACTCCCTAGGACCTAGTTCCCCTTTCAGGTTCCCTTCTCACCCCTCCCTGGGCTGGACCCTATCCTACCTGCTTCTTGAGGAATGTGACCTCCACACTGGGCTCGTCCCACAGCTCCAGAGGGATCCCCAGGTCCACCTTGACTCCCTTCTGCACCAGGCCTTTCAGAGTTGTCATGGTCTGACTCTGCCCCTGTGAGATGGGAATTTGGGATCAGCCCAGCCCACTACCTCAACTTCTTCCTTTCCCTTTCCACCACATCAGTTTGTCAACCACCGGAGTGTGAAGGGTAAGTTCCATGAGGGTGAGATGAGGAAGCCTACAGATGAGGAGGGGACACTGAAGAGCTAGAGAAGGAGGCTTCAGAGGATATAGGCCTAAGCAGTGGGATCCTGCCCTGGGGAGGAGTCTGACCTTGGCGTATCTCAGTGAGCCCTTGCGCTCAGCATGAACACTGTAATCCAGAGTTTGCTCACATAAATTCTCCAAGGCCTCTTCTAGCCTTGTCTCTCTGTGGGGAGAGGGGAAACAAAGACTCCTTGAATGCTGTATGAGCTCCCAGACCTCTTTTGGGGGTTGAAAGGTGGAGGGGCACCAAGAAGGACTCACGAAACGCTGTAAGGGACGTGTCTTTTCCTCTTGCCCGTGTCCAGCACCTGCCCCAGCTCCAGCACCTCTCGAGATCGTCCAGTGCGACTCAGCTTTTCCTGTAGCTCCAGACTCAGCAGCTTACACACTAGATGTCCAAAGGGACATGAGAGAGAAACAAACATGCCAGCAACTCATTCTGCAGATGAGCAAAAGCAGCAGAGCCTGCTGGTTACAAATGCAGACTCTGGAGCCAGCCTGGTTTACAATCCTGACGCAGCCGCTTAGTAAGCTGTGTAGCAATCTGCTGTGCCTTGGCTTCTTCACCTCTAAAATGGAGATAATAATAGTATAGGGATGTGGTGAGGATTAAATCCATCCATGTAAAGCCTTTACAATATGCCAGCACAGCCAAGACCGGTTTGGCTCAATGGATAGAGCGTCGGCTTGGGGACTGAAGGGTCCCAGGTTCGATTCCGGTCAAGGGCATATACCTTGGTTGCGGGCATATCCCCAGTAGGGGGTGTGCAAGAGGCAGCTGATCGATGTCTCTCTCTCATCGAAGTTTCTAGCTTTCTATCCCTCTCTCTTCCTCTCTGTAAAAAATCAATAAAATATATTTTAAAAAAACAATATGCCAGCACAGAGTGAGCAGTGTATAAGTCTTTGCTGTTGTGAGGCAGTTATTTATTGGGCTCCTTCTGGATGCACAATAGCAATGGAGAGCAAGTAAGACCCACCATCCCTATCCATGAAATACTGCCAATGCAGTGGGAATAGAAAGATGGCAGTATGGTGTGATGATTCCTACAATAGGGATTAAGACCCTAGCTGGTTTGGCTCAGTGGATAGAGCATCAGCCTGAGGACTGAAGGGTCCCAGGTTCTATTCCAGTCAAGGGAACATGCCCAGGTTGTGGGCTCGATCCCCTGGAGGGAGTGTGAAGGAGGCAGCTGATCAGTGATTCTCTCTCATCGATGTTTCTATCTCTCCATTATATTAAAAAAAAAAAAAAAAAAAAAAAAAAAAGACCAAGAGACTTAATCTCATTGGGAAATGCAAAATTCATTCAATGGTTACTTATTGACTTCCTGCTAGGCTGGGATTTCCTTAAGGGTGAGCATTGCATCTGTTCCACCACTGCCTTTCCAGCACCATCATGTGATCTGGCATGTTATGGGTCCCAAGAAAGGAGTGGCCTATACAAAAGTGCCAAGTGAACTAACCGGGAGCAAGTAACCAAAGTGCCTAAAATATGCCAGATACTGCTCTAAGATCTGGGAGACAACGATACTCTCTTTCCCTCCTTTACAATACAGTGAGAGGTGACAGATATGAAAAGAAGACTTCCAAAGGAGGTGACATTCAAATTGTATCTTGGAGAACCATATGCAGAAGTGAGAGGTTATTCCAGGCAAAGGGAAAAACAGGTGAGAAAGGATAAGGCAGGCTCACTAGCTGCTGAGTGCGGTGTGGCTTCAGTATGGGCACTCTGGGGATGGGATTTTGATTATGGAAAAGAAAGAAAGGGGGGGTGTCATAAAACAACATATGTTCTGCCCTAACAATAATCTTGGCTGTGCTCTAATCACTGCAGGAAGCCTGCACAGGTGTTAAAGCAAGGACAGACGAGATTGGGTCTGTGTTTACAAATCCTGACAGAGGAGTAGGGGCACAAGTGAAAGGAGAGTAGAGATTAGGTCTAAGTCTTGAGGAACAACGATATTGAAATGCAGGTTAAAAGAAAAAGAATCCAGGGAAGAAATTAGTCAGGAAGGTGGCAAACTAGGGAACCAGAGCACTCAATGAATGGCCCAGCTCTGAAACGCCCTCTCCCTATTATTGCTCTCTATTGCTATTGTACATCCAGATGGAGCCCAATAAGTAACTGCCTAACACCAGTTGGGACCCACAAATACTGCAACTACAGAAGATACTGCTTGCTGTAAAATCCACACAGTACACACACACACCCTTTGGAAAGCCTCACACCTATGGGGAATCTTTCCCAGTTGTGTGGCCTCTTTCATTTATGAGCTTCAAGGGCTGATTCACTCATCCCCAAGCCCCGTCAGGAGAACGCGGAACCTGTAATTTGGGAGTGTCTCTGCCGAGGTGGAGCAGAGGATATCCACAAGGTGAGGATACATCCCACTCCTGCAGGATCTCCAGATTGAGGTCTAGCGTCTAGCGGCATGGGCGAAGGGGTGGGGGGGTATGAGGGGAGACGAGCGCTTGCACATACGAAAACACAAGATGCTCAGTAGCTTGGTGATCCTGGGCAGATAGTCTCTGAACTACAATTCCCACAAACCATTGGGGCTCAAACCAGCCAGAAAAAGCGAACTCTCTCTCTAGATGTCTCCTGGAAATTGTAGTGCCATAGATTTGGGATAGCCCTGGATCCCATTCGACTTCCGCCAAACTCCACCAAAAAAACCTCCATAAGGTCTTCAAGGAGGTTGAGTGACCCACCCATCACGGTCCATTTGGTCCAGCCCGAACAAAGGAGGTGGGGCAGAGGGATGCCAAAAGAGCTATTCCTTTCAGATACCTTCGCATTTGCTGGGCAAGCGTTCTGTGTCATCGTCCTCCTCCTTCGGCGTCCCAGCCCATGCTGGGAAGTGTGCAGTCAAAACGAAAAGCAATATCCCCAACGGCACAGGTCCCATGACAAAGTGCTGCTGCCCACAACCAAACACCCCTTGCCTTCTAAGCAACTTCGGGGAAGGCCGCGGGCCCTTTTAATTCCGAGGGGTTTGGCGGCAACTCTAATAGTCTCCAGCCTATCCCCGGAGGCGCACGCGCAGTGCCGACCCAGGAGGGGGCGGGGCCCTCCGCGCTCCGGCCGTCCCCGCCTGGGTTTTGTGGCGCCTCTGGCAGGTCCTGGCCGCCGGGTAGTGAGGAAATACACAGAAGGAGTTACCACAGACGTGTTCGCTCCTGACATGTATGTATAAAAAGCAGAGATTTTTTTTTAATTTCAGGCCGTGAGTCTAACGAACTTATTCTTGCTCAGAGAAAGGGCAGGGACTTGCTCCTTTTCTTTGCCAGGACCGGCTCCCGGGAGGGGGCGGGGCCAACATGGCGCCGAGCGCCGGCTGAGCGGCGCTTCGGCGGCGGTGAGAGTTTTTCGTGCCTGGCGCGCTCGGCTGGCGGGAGGGGGTCGGGTCGGGTGGTACCATGGCCTAGACTCCTTGGCGGGCCTGTGTGGGGATCAGGAAGAGGACGGTTGGTTGTGTGTCCGTACGCGTGGGGACTCTTGTGTGTTTGCATGGGAGGGATGATGGGGATGAGGTGGGCGCTCTGCTCCTTTCGAGCTGGACCCATGACCTGGGGGGGGGGCCTTCGTTTTCCTTTTGGCTCTAGCTGCAGTTAAACCTTTCTGCCGACTGCACTGACCAGAGGGGCTGTCGAGCGTTGTGAGCTTTTTCTGGCAGGGTGTTGATGGGTTAGTAGTTCTCCAGGACGCGGGGACTCGACCGCTGCTTGCACGCCCGGCTCCAGGCACAGTGCGAATTTGTGTGGAATGAATAAGATTTGCCAACGTGGAGGAAAGCTGGGGTGTTTTGAGAAAAACCAAATTCTCTTGGGTCTCCCATCTTCTCACGCCTTCAGCACGTCCTCACCAGCCCCCACCCACTACATCCCGCCGTCAGTGGTCCTCACACCAGCTGTAAGCGAGCCCCTTTCCTGGTGGCCAAGCAGTAGGTTCCAAGGTTGGGTCTGTACTTGTTCGTCTTGATAATACTGGTACCGAGTGGGTGTGGAGCACTTAGATCTCTAATCCTCACAGTTGGTTCATTTATTCAAATATATATTGAATATTTACAGTGTCTCAGGCAACAGTCTGCTGACTTGGAACACATGAGTGAACATAGTAGACAAAGATCTCTGTCCATACAGTGCAGGAGGAGGAGATTTTACAATATATATTAGATGTTAAATGCCAAGGGGAGGGAAAGGATGGGGTGGAGTATGTGGTATTAAACAGGGTGGTGGAAATAGGCAGTCAAACTGTCATCTGGGAAAGAGCATTCCAGGCAGAAGAAATAGCAAAGGCCATAAAGCAAGAGCAGGTCTGTCAGGTTTGAACAGCAAAGACAGTGGCGCTTTATCAAGCTGGAAGAGGAAGGAAAAGGAGGTCAGAGATGTCATGCAGACAGAGCCTTGTAGACCATAATAGGAAATTTGGATTTTTTCTGGATGGTAAATGGGGAGCCATTACAGAGTTTGAACAATGACCCAATCTGATTTATAATTTGACAGAATCACTCTGTCTGCTGTGTTGGGAGTAGAAGTAAAGAGCAAGGTGGAGCCAGGAGAGCTTCTCAAGAGGCTATCGAAGTTATCCAGGTTGTAGATGATGCGGGCTCTGGGCCTGGGATATAAATTTGGTCATCATCACCCTATTAATGATACTGAAAACAGAGAGGTTGTGATCACCAAGTAAGTCAGTGTAGCCAGAGAAGAATAAGGACTGAGACTAGGACATTCTAACATTAAGCAGGTGAGGAGGAAGAACCGGAAGGGGAAACTGAGGGGTAATGGCCAGTGAGGTAGGAGGAAAACCAGCGGTTGGTGCCACAGTGGAGTAAAAAAAATAAATAAATAAAAGAGTTTTGAGAAGGTAGTAATCAGCTATGCTATATACTGCTTTGAGGTGAAAAAAGATGAGGTCAGAGTGGGCCTTGGATTTGGCAATGTGAAGTCACCTGTGACCTTGAGAGTTTCAGGGATCTAGAGGGGCAAGACCCCCATTGGAGTAGGTTCAAGAGAGGAGAGGAGAATTAGAAACAAAGTTATGACAACTTTTTGAGGGAGTTTTATTGCAAGAATGAGAAAAAAATTGGGTATAACATATAGAGAAAGTAAGGGAAAAGGTGTGTTTTATTGTATAATTTGGTAAAATACACATAAAGCCCACCATCCTAACCATTTTTAAGTGTAGTTGAGTGGCATTACCGGTAAATACATTCACATTGTTGTGTAACCATCACCATCATCCATCTCCAGAACTGAATTCCAAAGCTGAAATTCTGTCCCTATTGAACAATAACTTCCCATTCCCCCTCATTCAGCCCCTAGCGACCACCATTCACACTTTCTGACTCTGTGTTTGACTACTTTAAGACCCTCACACAAGTGGAATCATACCATACTTGTCTTTTTGTGACTGGCTTGTTTCAATCAGCGTAACGTCCTCAGGGTTCATTCATGTTGTAGCATGTGTCAGAATGTCCTTCCTTTTTAAGGCTGTTCTTAAGCCAGGAAAAAGAACTGCATTTTGTAGGCTGATGGAAATGACCTGGTAGGTTGCACAATTGATGATAGAGAGAGATGGGAGAAACACTGGAATGATGTTGGAGGTGGTGACAGGCATGAACAATTTATAGCAACAGGTGGGAAGGCAGGGTATGTGGATACCAGTGCTACTTGGTGGGTAGACATGGGGAAAGTCTGGAGGTCCCTTCTGATGGAAAGGTGAGGAAGGAGAAAGGTGATCACACAGGACAGAGGGAGACTGAGTGCACAGAGTTATAGTATGCTTGTCTGGCAGGATAAGAGCCCATTTGAAGTTTATGGCCATGAATTTAAAGTGGTAATTAGCCATGATGGTTGTGTATTTTTCTCACATTGAATTGTACAAGAATATAGGCTCAGGGTGGGAGAGTTCTTTTAACCAGGACTGTATTTGTGTCAAGTAATAATGCAAGAAGGGATAAGAGAGATGGAAGCATGCGTAAAACAACCTTAGGAAAAAAGTGTTTTCCATATTTTATGGAAATATGGAAACCCAAACCAGGGACAATTTAAGTAACCTGCCCTAGTAACACAGCACAGTAATGCTAGGGCTTATATTTAAATTGAGAGTTAAGATCATCCCTATTGCCGAGACCAGTTTGGCTAAGTGGATAGAGCGTCGGCCTGCGGACTGAAAGGTCCCAGGTTCGGTTCTGGTCAAGAGCATGTACCTTGGTTGCAGGCACATTCCCAGTAGGGGTGGTGCAGGAGGCAGCTGATCGATGATTCTCTCTTATCGATGTTTCTCTCTAACCCTCTCTCTTCCTCTCTGTAAAAAATCAATAAAATATATTTTAAAAAAAGAAAGAAAGATCATCCCTATTATACCTCACTTGTATAGTGCCTGGCATAGAATCAGAGCTCAATAAATTACGTTGAACTGGATCGAATTGCTACCTCCTTCTGTTACACCCAATGCTGACTCGTGGGGATGGACAGGTCCCACGAATTCTTCCCATCCTTATTCTCCTCCATTTGTTGTGGCCTCTCCTGAGCAGACAACCCCTCTACTTTGGGTCTCATATTTCTTTTTATCTCTTCTGCCCACCCCATCCCCCTGCCAGGGTCTCCACCTCTCCACCCTGGGGCACCATCCTTCAGAGGAGGGAGGAAGAGCTCCAGCATGGCTGAGGAGAAGAAGCTGAAGCTCAGCAACACGGTGCTGCCTTCGGAGTCAATGAAGGTGGTGGCCGAGTCGATGGGCATCGCCCAGATTCAGGAAGAAACCTGTCAGCTGCTGACAGACGAAGTCAGTTACCGCATCAAGGAGATCGCACAGGTCATCTGGCCTCTCTACCCCGTCCTGCATTGAATGGAGGAGGATGCCCAGGCCCTCTTCTTCCTCGGGGTCTCAGGCTGACATTTGTTCTCCCACCCCAGGATGCCTTAAAGTTCATGCACATGGGGAAGCGGCAGAAGCTCACCACCAGTGACATTGACTATGCACTGAAGCTAAAGAATGTGGAGGTGATTGGGACACACAGGACTGAGATGGGCAGAGGGGTGAGAACAGTCCTTCCATGGCCCCCCTTCTCACCCTGCTGTCTTTCTCTCTCCTGAGATAGCCGCTGTATGGCTTCCATGCTCAAGAGTTCATTCCTTTCCGGTTCGCCTCCGGTGGGGGCCGGGAACTCTACTTCTATGAGGAGAAGGAGGTTGACCTGAGTGACATCATCAATACCCCTCTGCCCCGGGTGCCCCTGGACGTCTGCCTCAAAGGTTGGGGGAAAGGAGAGCGGGGTGGCAGGGCAAGGAACGGAGGGGCAATGCTTACGGGTTTAAGAAGACTCACAAGGATGAAGCCCTCAGGGTGGGATCCCTGGTGAGTGGCGGGAAGTGGGAACAGGAATGAAAACACACATTCCTTAGTGTGGAGTGACTTCCTAGTATTCGTGTGCAACAGTTCAGCTTGATACCTTCCTTCCTCACAGCTCATTGGTTGAGCATTGAAGGCTGCCAGCCAGCTATCCCAGAGAATCCACCTCCAGGTAACCTCTCTGCCCAGAGCCCACGCCTCTGCCTTTCCCCCTCTCCCCACCATACACACACACACACACACACACACACACACACACACACACACCTTCTACCTCTCTCAACACTTGCAACTGACTGCTTTCCCACCAGCTCCCAAAGAGCAGCAGAAGGCTGAGGCCACAGAACCCCTGAAGTCAGCAAAGCCCGGCCAGGAGGAAGATGGACCCTTGAAAAGCAAAGGTCAAGGTGCTGCTCCAGCTGATGGCAAAGGTCAGTCCTGCTAGGCCAGGCCTCTCGGGCTCTTTCCCCAAAGCCAAATAGTCACTGGTGAATTGGTGAAGTCAGCCAGAAAGCCCCAAAAGGGATCACCCAGCACAGAGGGTCAAGGTTTCTCTGATCCGAAGGCCTCTTCTGGAGCTTTCTTTTTCAAGCCCATCTTCCCAATTTACACAGGGAAAGAGAAGAAGGCACCACCCCTCCTGGAGGGGGGCCCTTTTCGATTAAAGTCCCGAAGTATACATGAGTTGTCTGTGGAGCAGCAACTGTACTACAAGGAGATCACTGAAGCCTGCGTAGGGTCCTGTGAAGCCAAGAGAGCGGTGAGGCCCCCCACCCTGCCTTTACCGCAAGTCCCCTCCTCGGAGGCCTCACAGATTCTCCGCATGGTATCTGCCCCGCCTCACTCATTCCCTCCTCCTGCAGGAAGCCCTTCAGAGCATCGCCACAGACCCCGGGCTCTACCAGATGCTGCCACGATTCAGCACCTTCATCTCAGAGGGGGTGAGAGGATTCAGACCCCTCCTCTGCTCCCATGGGGTCAATGCCCTGGCATGAGGTTTCAGGGGGTGAGGAGTTGGCAGGGGAAACTCATCTAGGGTTCCCTGCCCTGTCACTTCTCCTTCCTCTAGGTCCGTGTGAACGTGGTGCAGAACAACCTGGCCCTGCTCATCTATCTGATGCGCATGGTGAAGGCACTGATGGACAACCCTACCCTGTATCTAGAAAAATACGTGAGTGGTCCTGCCTACCCACCTCTCATCCCAGGCTTTGGAGACCTCACTGCCACCAACAGGAAGCCCGTTATCATAATTAGCTGCCTTATCACTTCTCTCTTAGGTGCATGAATTGATTCCAGCTGTGATGACCTGCATTGTGAGCAGACAGTTGTGTCTGAGGCCAGATGTGGACAATCACTGGGCACTCCGGGACTTTGCTGCCCGCCTGGTGGCCCAGATCTGCAAGCATTTCAGCACAACCACTAACAACATCCAGTCCCGGATCACCAAGACCTTCACCAAGGTGAGCCAGAACAAGGAATGTAGCCCTTTCACCCCTCTACCTCAGGGCTGTCACCAGGACAGTGAGAGCAGTGGTGGGTCAGTTGTGGGGAGGAATTGAAAACAAGGGCAGAGGGCAGAGGGATTGGGAATGGGACTGGAGTCGTATGCATGTATATCTGTAATGTCTTAATGATCTACAAGGAAAAGTGTGTTTGAGACTTGGATCCTTACCAATTAGGCTTTCAGGCCCATTTACCTGGATTTATCTTCCATCCCCTTCAGAGCTGGGTGGACGAGAAGACTCCGTGGACTACACGTTATGGCTCCATCGCAGGCCTGGCAGAGCTGGGACACGATGTCAGGCCCCCGTGGGGAAGCACTGGGGGAGGGAGGCATCATATCCTAGTGGGCAATACCTACCACCTGGGAGCCTCTGTGACCCCAGGCCCTGGCTTCTCTCCTTCCTTCCCAACAGGTGATTAAAACTCTGATTCTGCCGCGGCTGCAGCAGGAGGGGGAGCGGATCCGAAGTGTCCTGGATGGCCCTGTGCTGAGCAACATTGACCGAATTGGAGCTGACCACGTGCAGAGCCTCCTCCTGGTGACCAGATCCCCCATGCCCTCCCCCAGCTTCTTCCCACTCATCCTCTCCCCTTCCTCTCGGCCTCCACACACACATATACAGATACAATGTTTAGCAAGAATGTGGTCTTTTATTCATTTATCCCATCTTTGCCTCATATTCAGAGAAACCTCAGAGTCCAATACTATTTAGCAGATGGAAAAGACTGAGGCACAAAGGAGTTAAATAAGAAATAAGAGGTCTTAACTCTCAAGGCTTCCAGGCTGCACTACCCCTCATGCTACTGCATCACTGTGGCCCATTCTGTGTAAGGCAATGCCCTATGGACCAAAACTACCTCAGATGGCACCAGGGTATTTAGCATGTTCTCCGTTCACAACAATTGGTGCCTATGTTTTCTTATGAAGAAAAACCATAGCATTCCTTATACACACTACTATGCCAGCAGTTTGGCCTTCTACAAGAACATACTGAAATGGTAATATCCTTTTTCACGCCTTCACCATGCTTCTGGGAATCCCAGCCCTCTTTCAACTCTTTCAACCTGCTTCTTCTTTTTTTTTTTTTTGCTTTATCTCTACAGAAGCACTGTGCCCCTGTTCTGGCAAAGCTGCGCCCACCACCTGACAATCAGGATGCCTATCGGGCAGAATTTGGGTCCCTTGGACCCCTTCTCTGCTCCCATGTGGTCAAGGCCCGGGCTCAAGCTGCTCTGCAGGCTCAACAGGTCAACAGGACCACCCTGACCATCACTCAGGTCAGTGACAGTCCAGGGGGGAGGGTGACCAAATGGAGAGGAGGGATGAAGAATAACGAGGGGAGACAGAGACCTAGTTTGCATTGGGATGTGAGATTATATGCATGCCCGTGCTGAGCCTGAATTTTTTGAAAACCCAGGGCCCTCTGGGTCAGAAGTTTTGGAGGCAGCTAGACCCCCACCCCAGTGAGACCAACTCAGGAGCAAGACGAGCCCTTTTTCTTAGATGTTGACATTTTCTTCTTGCCTCTTCCTCCTGCAGCCCCGACCCACGCTGACCCTTTCTCAGGCCCCTCAACCTGGCCCTCGGACCCCTGGCCTGCTGAAGGTCCCTGGCTCCATCGCACTGCCCGTCCAGACACTGGTGTCTGCACGAGCTGCTGCTCCACCTCAGCCTTCCCCTCCTCCAACCAAGTTTATTGTAATGTCATCGTCCTCTAGTGCCTCATCCACCCAACAGGTATGTACAGCCCCACGGGACCAGGGATGATGGGAAGCATGTCACCATGCTATCCTGAGGCCCCAGAGTAGGCCCAGTCACCTCTGGGCCCAAAACAGCAGCTAGAAGGAGCACTTCCCAGGGGCCCAAAGGCCGCAGCTTCTCCCCCTGAGGATGAATCAGAGGACGAATTATTTGGTTGGAGCAAGTGAGGTATTCCCCCAGGTCTGGGGAGTAGTGAGGATGCAAGATAATAGACACTGACTTTCCGTTCTTCCCCCAGGTCCTGTCCCTCAGCACCTCAGCCCCTGGCTCAGGCTCCACCACCACGTCTCCTGTCACTACCACGGTCCCCAGTGTGCAACCCATTGTCAAGCTGGTCTCCACTGCCACAGCTGCACCCCCCAGCACGGCCCCCTCCGGCCCCGGCAGTGTCCAGAAGTACATAGTGGTCTCTCTTCCCCCAACAGGGGATGGCAAAGGAGGCCCCACCTCCCACCCTTCTCCAGTCCCTCCCCAATCCTCAGCCCCTTCCCCACTTGGGGGCAGTGCCCTCTGTGGGGGAAAACAGGAAGCTGGAGATAGCCCTCCTCCAGCTCCAGGGACTCCAAAGGCTAATGGCTCCCAGCCCCCTGGATCTGGCTCGCCTCAGCCTGCCCCTTGATGCTGTCACACAACTGCCAATCTTCTCTTCCCAAGATATTCTCTCTTTCTCTCTCTCTCTCTCTCTTTCTATACACACAAACACACACACACGGTGGAAGGAAGTAGTCATCTGCTTCCCTCACCTTAACTTTCTTTTTAGATATTGTACAGCCAGCTCATAATAAAAGTTTGATTTGTAAGTTCTGATTCACCTCAGTCCTTCCTGTGTCCGATACAATGGAAGGATCTAACCTGTGGAGCCCTCGTGGTCTCTAGGACTCAGGTCTCTCCCAGCAGATCCATTACCACAGGCCAGAGGATGGAGAAGACAGTATCGTCCTCCTGAACCACAGGCCACCATCTTTCCTGCCCATGTCCTTGTTTGGGAGCCTCAGATCCGAATGACATAAGCATCGCTGTGGCTTAGGTGTCGCACCCACTTGTGGGGGTTGGCATTGCTGCAGTGCCTGAATGCCAGCCTGAGGAAGCGAACCTGGAGGCCGGAGCACGTGTGCCGGGGAAGTTCAAAGGAGAGGCTCGCAGGGCCCAGCCCCAGAGGAGGCGCTGAGGTGGACTGTCCTTGCCCAGGAGGCCCAGGCAGACCTGGGACTTCCATCTGTGAGGGACAGAGGCAGAGGGATGAGTGCTGAAGACGACAAGATGGGCAGGGGAGCCCCAGGGCCAGGAAGGTGACTACATTAGGAACAATGCAGCAACTATAGTAAGCGAGAGGAGTTGGGACTGAAAATGGAGGGCCTTAGAGAACAAGCAGCTGATACCTGGAAAAGGCCTGAGAGCTGAGAGCCTCCTTGCACACGAGGCAGGTCCCAGCGAAGGGCTCCGTCACACAGCTCTGCCTTCTGCTCTGGGCTACTCAGCTCCTGAGACAGGCTGGAGATTGGGAAGGTGCTGGGCTCAGCCCGACTGCCTCGGGCAGGCCAGGTCCACCCCCACAGTCTATGTAAACTCTCCTCCCCAGTGCCATCCTGTCGTCCAGGGAAGCTGGTAAAACCACTGCACACACACTCACCTGACCACCCCTCGAGGCAGGGGAAGGTGAAGCCTGATATTGACAGCCTGGCTGCAAACGTGAAAGGAACAGTCAGCCCCAGAAAGGTCTCCATGCTTCATTAATGTCACAGCTGGAACTCAGCACAAGTGCCACCCCACCCTTCCCAAACTCTCAAGCCTCTAACTAAACTGATTCCTAGGCTGGTGGCTGCATCTGAAAGCCATAGCGACAGGTATCTATCTGGGTCCTTTCTCCTACTCCCCATAGCTGAACTAGTCTTGGCTACCCCACTCATACCTCTTTGGGGGCAAGTCACATCGTAACTTCAGATAAACCTGGAGCCTGGATGAGAGAATACAATACCATTACACTAGCCCAAGCATGTCAAACTCGTGGCCGGCATGCAAACAAGACTTGCGGCCCACTGGCCAAGAGTTTGACATGCTTGCTCTAGCCATAACCTGCTGGCATCTCACCAGCCTCAGACATGTACTGAAGGAAGGAGAGAGAAGGGCTGAAATCTACTCAACTTTATTAGTCACTAGCATTCATGGGACTGAGTCCACTTGGGGGTCTGGTGCCTTTTTCTAATTTGTAACCTATACCATTAACCACCATCCCTCCCCAATAAATCTACCTATGGACTTGGGTTCCAGAGAAATTCTAGAACTAGAAATAGTCTCACCTGCCTGAGCCTCGGTCCCACTGCAGAGAGGGAAAGAGCCGGAAGGGAAGTGGGGAGGGGAGGTCATCTGAGAGTTGGTACCGCATCACAGTCAGCTACGGTGAGGGAGAAACAGAGATCAGTTTGGTGCCCTCACACCTGAACTGCCTCCCTTCCCTTGGGTAGATGGAATATGCTAGGCCAGCCCATCCTGACCTCGCCCTGAGGTGGCTGCAAGCGGAGTATTCGATGAGACTCAAATTCATCCAGTTGCACCGAGCTGTGAAATGAGACTTCATCCACCCGAATTCCTGGCCCATAACCTAGGAAGAAAGACTCCTCTGCTAACCCACATGTTGGGAGAGAAGAGCAGGGATGGGGTACGAATCTGTCTCTAACTTCTCTCCATGAAACTTCTGGTAGGAAAGACCTACTTTTTTCTCACCTCTCAGTTCTGACTTCCCCACACAAAATTCTTCTGTCAAGCCAATGCGCATCTCTGTCAGAAAAAAAAAGACATCAGAAAAGGCCACCGAATAGCACCACAAACCCCATCAAGAAATCTGTCCCAACCCCAACCCTAGGCCCAGCCTATGGACTTCTCACCAGAGCCACTGGGAAGAAAGCTCTTAAGTCGGATCTCTCCCTGCACATCCACCTTCAGCAGTGAGCCCTGAGAGTGGCAGAGAGGTTAATGCCCAGAGATGACCTCCCCAAATGTGTTTGCCAGATACCATCTGAGGGCCCAAACTTACATTGGATGCTATCAGTACGGACAGTCTCTCTACCACATCCAAAAACACTTCATTCTTTTGGCTCTGAGGAAGAGAGGGCATTTGGGTAGTTGGAGGCTGACTAGTGGACAGAGCAGTGGACGCTAGGGCCAGGGTTGGGAACACCAGGTATAGGAAGGGACTGGATTATCCAAATCTAGGAGAGGTGGGAAGATATGCAGGGATCTTGGACTCTGGGATTCCCCTAAAACAAAATCAGGGGGTCTGAACCTGTTTAGTCCCTCACCTGGTCAGAACGGCTGGACAGGACTGGGCGGCTGGCTGCACTGCTGGGCGCCACTTTACTCTGTTGTGTCTCAGCCCCAAACTGCAAAGCACCCAAACAATCAGTCCTCAAGGTCTGACAACCCCTGCCAAACCTTCTCCCTCCTGGTCCCCTTTCCCTCTACCCACCAAGCCAACGCTGCTGAGATCAAAGAGGCTGAAGGGTTTGCTGACCACAGCCTCAGTCTGGATGAAGTTCCTCAGCATCTCTGTGGATGTGGTCTGCACGTAGCCATAATCCTACAGACAGAGGAAGAACAGTTTCAGGGTGGCTAGTGGGGGGAAAAGGAGTGAAATGCAGTGGACTTAGCCTCACAATCAAGGAATAGATCTTTAGGGAACGGGACAACGCAGGACGTCTTTGAACCTCACCAACACTTCATCCAGGAGTTCATAGACAAGAGCCACATTGCGGGAGATGGTCCCCTCTCCCAGGGAGCCACAGTAATCGCCCAGGAGGGTGGCTAACCTGAGGAAAAAGAACGGAGTGTGCATCTCTTCCTCCGGTCACACCCCAACCCCCAGCTGCCCAGCCCTGCCCTCCTCACCGAGACAGCAGCTCTAGGAGGCTGAAGGGAGAAATGTTTTCTGAAGTCGTGGCCACCAAATACAGACCACTGTGTCTGATGTGAATAAAATGACGGTCATCGTGGTGCTGAGGCAGAAGGGGGGGGTGGGGGGGAACGTCAGGAAGAGAATTGTGCTTAAGGGGCCCAACTAGTACTCTGATTAGCTGGTACCCTGATTCCCCAACTACCCAGCAGTGCGACCTCGGGCAAACTAGAAACCTCCCAAGGGCCCAGTTTCCCCGTGTAAAGTGGAATTAATGAGATTCCTTCCTCAGAGGTGCTGAGGAATGAGGCATGTAAGGAGCTGTGCCTGCCATATGGTTAGCGCTTAATAAACTTTCTTCAATAGTATCTGGAGGAATGCACGGCCTCCACCCCAACGGGAAGCTCTCAAGGACACAGGCCCGATGGGAAGAAGCGTCCCCTCCACCCGAGCCTGCCAGAATAGCACTCCAAGCCCCCCTTTTGGTTACCATGACAACCGGGGACTCTTCTCCAGGCAGTCCCATCAGCTTCCGGTAGAAGAGCTCGGCCACATCCCGGCCGCCACTGTCCCCACGGACTGAAGGGCAGCTAAGGACCGGGAGGCACACAAGCCAGCTCTGGGACACTACTCCTTACCCCAGCTTCCCCCCCTGGACTCGTAGGTCAAGGATACAGTCTTTGTAGATGAGTGGGTCCCCCTTGGAGGACAGAATGAAGAACTGGGAAATCATGGCCGTTCTGCAGATTGGACTAGGAGAGGAAAGGGACAGCAGCCCCGAAACAAAGGGACGCGTGTAAGGCTGGCGCTTTAAGACCGAGTCTCCTCCGACGCGGGAAATCCGGCGCCTGCCCCACCCATCCCAACCTGTCTCTTTCTTAACTCACGCCACTTCCCCGTCACTCAGCCCAAGTTCGCCTGCTGATTGGTCGAGGCTGGGCCCGCGGCGAGAGGGCGGGACAGAAATCCCCTTATGGGATTGGCCCATACGCGGCTACGCCGGTCACGTGTTGGGCGACGTTTCGCGCCAATTTCGGTTGGTCAGCCCCAGTCTGCAGCGGGAGCGATCGCCTCTCCGGGAGAGTAAGAGCTCTGAGCGCTCCAGCTGCTGCTGCACGGTCCTCAGCAGCGATGGCACATAAGGACTACGCGTTGGAGAAAGGTGAGGGTTCGCAAGCTTGGGAGGAGCGTCCGGCGCGGGGACGCTCCCGGCCAGCACCTGTTGATGTGAGCTAGGGTCCCGGGGGCCGCCGCTCGGCGCGCGAGGCCGGAGCCGGGGTCCAGAGGCGGCGTGGCTAAGGCACACGGTGCCAGGGAAGCACGTGGAGACCTGAGGTGGGAGAAGAGCTAGTGATGGTGTTCGGGAAAGGAGTGGGGGCGGCGGATAGCCCCGTTGGGGGTTCGCGTGGAGACGGTAGCGCCTGGAAAGGCCGGGGCCTCAGAAGGTCTTATCTAGGGCGTAGAGTCGGGCACCCCTGGCCCCGCTGCCTTCCGCGCGCTTCGGCACTCTGGAGTAGCCCCGTCTTCCCGGGACATCGAAGCCCCGGGGGCGGGCTGACCTGTGCCGCTGCGCGCGGGGATTGGCCATTTTAAGCCAACTTACAAGCGGAAGTGAAGGCGGGCGGAAGTTGCGCGACGCCTTGGAGAGAGCTCCGTGTGTAAACAGTGTCCTTCCGCGCGGTAGCCTTCGAGAGAGCTGCCTAGAGCAGGGGCGTGCCTGGAATTAAGGGTTTTAGTGCGAGTCTTAGAGGAGGTAGTAAGGAGCCAAGATGGGGAAAACTGCGTGGCCCTGGACCGGCTGGCTAATGGCCAGATCGGCTTCCCCGGGCGGAGGAATCCCGCGCCGTGAGGCGGCCGCATCTGGGCCCATGTGCTTCTTTGTTTACTAAGAGCGGAAGCAGTGGCGGTAGAGGGGGTGGGGTGGAGGATGGGACTATTGGCATAGGTTTAGGGGACCGAAAGAAAGCGGGGGGATGATAATTATGGAAGAAAAGCTGAGAACCTTGAAACTTGAGTTTGCTGCTGGGAGTTGGGAGGCCTTTGGGAACGGGCACTGAGACTTCTAATGAAGGCAGACACTGAAATTACCCCAGGGGGAGGGTGTTGGGTAATTTTTCAACTGCCAAGTGACCCTTATTCTTTAAATAAATCAGACTTGTGAAAAGGAATTCTGTCCAGTTTGGGGAGAATTATGTGGGGTGGGGTGATTTAAATGTTCACATAACTAATTAGTCACTTAAACAAGAGTGGGTTTCTTATATTTCTGTTGGGTTTGCAAAAAAGGTATCTGAAAGAAAGGAAGGTTGATCATCATGATTTTACATTTACATTATAGAAAAAGTGAAGAAATTCCTACAAGAGTTTTACCAGGATGACGAGTTTGGCAAAAAACAGTTCAAGTATGGCAACCAGTTGGTAAGTCTTAAGATTGGAGGGAATGGCACCTTAAAGAGCTGTAAGGTGGCCTGGCTTATTTCAACAAGTACATTTGTCTGTAAATGACATGTTTAGTTCAGTGCCCCAAACTTGGTGATAATTAAGGAGTTGAGAAGCTGTCTTTGGGGGTTAAGAAGTGAGTACTGCTGTCCCACACTGTTTCTTCTCTGTGGAGACCTGGAATCTGTCCTAAGCTCACAGCGATGGTTCCTTGCACAGTAAACTTGACTCTGTGGTCTTCCCCACCCCAGGTTCGACTGGCTCATCGGGAACAAGTGGCAATGTACATAGACCTCGATGATGTAGCCGAGGAGGACCCCGAGTTGGTGGATTCAATTTGTGAGAACACGAAGCGCTATGCAAAGCTCTTTGCTGATTCTGTTCAGGAGCTGCTGCCTCAGTACAAGGAGAGAGAGGTGAGTGTTTGCAAGGAAATTCAGGGCAAGGAACTTTTATGTCGTGGAGCTTCTCAGATATTAACATGTTCTGAGCTAGCAGAAAGGAGGGAGATGATTTCTGCCTGCTGGCCTTTATACCCCATCCTGCATATATATATATAAAGTTGATTTTAGAAATATCCATTCATCTGCCTACTGGGGATGTGCCTGCAACTAAGGTACATGCCCTTGACCAGAATCGAACCCGGGGCCCTTTATTCCACAGGCTGACGCTCCATCTGCTGAGCCAAACTGGCTAGGGCCTGCCCCTCATTTCCCCATCTTCCTTCCTCTGCCTATAGGTGGTAAGTAAAGATGTCCTGGATGTTTACATTGAGCACCGACTGATGATGGAGCAGCGGAGTCGGGACCCTGGGGCAGCCCGAAGCCCCCAGAACCAGTACCCTCCTGAACTCATGCGTAGATTGTGAGTGATCTCAGTGGGGAAAGGTGTGGGATTTGGTTCTTCAGGACCTTGCTAATGACTGTTTTCTTTCTCAGTGAGCTGTACTTTCAAGGTCCAAGTAGTAATAAGCCTCGTGTGATCCGGGAAGTGAAGGCTGACTCTGTAGGAAAATTGGTAACTGTGCGTGGAATCGTCACTCGTGTCTCTGAGGTTAAACCCAGAATGGTGGTGGCTACTTACACTTGTGACCAGTGTGGGGCAGAGACCTACCAGCCGGTATGTATGAAATAGGGAACAGAGATGCACTTGTGTCTTTTTTAAGAATTTCTGTCTATGAGGTGTCCTTTTCTCTGTTTGTTGTAAAATATATCTGTGTTTTCACCTATCATTGTTTTTCTGGTATATAGAGGTTTTTTCACCCATAAGTGTTTTTGGTCCCTGTCAACTGTTATTCCAGAAGAGTTTAAGATGTTCTTGACAATTCCATGATGAGAAAACATGATGCAAGTGACTGACTCTTAAGTGGCTCGTTTTCTTCTGACTTCCTTTGGTGTTTTCTTACATCTTAGATCCAGTCTCCCACTTTCATGCCTTTGATTATGTGCCCGAGCCAAGAGTGCCAGACCAACCGTTCAGGAGGGCGACTATATTTACAGACACGTGGCTCCAAATTCATAAAATTCCAGGAGATGAAGATGCAAGAACATGTGAGCTTTGGGAGTGTTGCCCAGGGAAGGTGGAGCTTGGGAATCACTTTGAATACAAAGTGGAAGAAAGAATAGGAGGAGGTGAGGCAGAGAAGTCATCTAGGGCAGGAGGCATATTTAACTGAAAAGTTTTTATTGAGCTGGGGAGAGGTAAAGGAGATCTCTGCTTTTGTGTTTTTGTATTCCTGTTAGCTAGAGTGGGTCAAGAAGTAGAAGAGTGGGATCCCTGAACAGGAGCTTAGATCCTAACATAAAGTGATCAGATGTCCCGCTTTTTAACAATTTGGGACGCGGGACAAATTGTGAAAAATTGGGACATCTGGTCACCTTATCCTAAAGGGCCTTATGTTTCTTTTTCCTTGTCTGTGCCCCTTATCCCCCAGAGTGACCAAGTGCCTGTGGGAAATATCCCTCGTAGCATTACGGTGTTGGTAGAAGGAGAGAACACACGGATTGCCCAGCCTGGGGACCACATCAGTGTCACTGGTATCTTCTTGCCAATCTTGCGCTCTGGGTTCCGACAGGTGGTACAGGTAAAAAAGGGGGCTTGGAGGGAGGAAATGTTCCCTTTTTCCCCTTGCCCACTCACTCTCACTCCACCCACAGAAAAACTATTGACAATAAAACAATAGAACAAAGGGTTTTGGTTTTGTCCCCTTCCCGAAGGAACAGTGTGGACTTGATATCATGGTCTTTTCCTGTTCAAGGGTTTACTTTCAGAAACTTATCTGGAAGCCCATCGGATTGTGAAGATGAGTAAGAGTGAGGATGATGAGTGTGGGTCTGGAGAGCTGAGCAGGGAGGAGCTGAGGCAAATTGCAGGTGAGGGCCTGGGGGAAAGATTGGAATGTTTCTTCCTAGCACTTTTTTTCCCTAATTTTCACTTTCCCTCAGAGGAGGATTTCTACGAAAAGCTTGCAGCCTCCATTGCTCCAGAAATATATGGGCATGAAGATGTAAAGAAGGCGCTGCTGCTCCTTCTGGTGGGAGGAGTGGACCAGTCTCCTCGGGGCATGAAAATCAGGGGTAAGAGGAAATGGGGAAGAGGGTCTGACAAGGCAAGGCAAGAGTTGGCGTCTTGGCTTCATGGGCTCTAGAATGGGTCAGAAGGAACGATCCTGAATATGGTGGTGGGGGAGGCTTCAGAAATACTTTTCTCTGTGGCTGGACAGCTTGCATTAAAAGAATAGTTGTGGGGGCTTTCTTTTTTCAGGCAACATCAACATTTGCCTCATGGGGGATCCTGGTGTGGCCAAGTCTCAGCTCCTGTCTTACATTGATCGCTTGGCCCCCCGCAGTGAGTAACCAGACTTGGGGAAAGAAGTAAATGTAGACGACAAGAATAGGATCGCCACATTTATTCTCTTTTGGGGTTTGAAAGGTGGGAGAGGGTTGGGGCAGGGAGATAGTGCCAGCACCCTATAGATCTTTACCCAGGAAGGCCTGGTGAGCAAGTAAATTAGGTCAGTGCAGACCTCATTTCACTGTCCCCATTACTTGGGTCCTTGCCCTATTCTTGCTCTTTTCCTTGTTCCTTTCCCTTCTAAACATGTCTGCTTGTTTCCTGTCTTCCTAACCCTGCCATTTAGGCCAGTACACAACAGGTCGCGGCTCCTCTGGAGTGGGGCTTACAGCAGCTGTGCTGAGAGACTCTGTAACTGGAGAACTAACCTTAGAGGGTGGGGCCCTCGTACTGGCTGACCAGGGTGTGTGCTGCATCGATGAGTTTGACAAGATGGCTGAGGCCGACCGCACAGCCATCCATGAGGTCATGGAACAACAGACCATCTCCATTGCCAAGGCAGGCATTCTAACCACCCTCAATGCCCGTTGTTCCATCCTGGCTGCTGCCAACCCTGCCTATGGGCGCTACAACCCTCGCCGAAGTCTGGAACAGAACATACAGCTTCCTGCTGCACTCCTCTCTCGATTTGACCTTCTCTGGCTAATCCAGGATCGCCCTGACCGAGACAATGACCTACGGTGAATTAAGCTCAACACTCAAAGAGACATATCTTAGAGATGATTGGGTGGGAGGAGAAATTGGAAAGCCCTCAAATTCTCATGAAAATGGCTCCACAATTCTTAGGGAAATGGTGGGTCTGGGCTAAAACATTAGTAAGGATTTCTTAGTAATGGTTTCCCCTGCCAAACCGTGAGGAGATGGAGCCAGGGAAGAGGGAGATAAGTTGGGGCACAGGGTGCATAGCCCAAAAAGAGTATTCCTCCTTGTCTCCACTATTCCCAGGTTGGCCCAGCATATCACCTATGTGCACCAGCACAGCCGGCAGCCTCCCGCCCAGTTTGAACCATTGGACATGAAGCTTATGAGGTAGGAGAGCTGAGTAAGGAAGGACAGTTCTGCTTCACCTTGTGTGGCAGTATCTTGGGCCTTGTGTGTCTCTTGAAAGCTTTCAGTCTTACTGCCACCCTGCCCATCCCTTTCTATGTTCTGGTCTGAGAACATTGAGTCCAGTCCCCCCCAGGCTGGCCACAGAAGAACACACATCAGAACTAATCTTGCACATCACTGGCCTGTCGGGTGAGCCAGGTTCAGATTCTAAGCAAGACTGGGTCCTGCTCCAAGGATACTTGAAGCCACTGTTTTCCACGGGCCTGTGATAGGGCTCCTAGTGGTCTCCAGGTTTTTCTTCCCTGCCACCTATTCTCTTCAAGTAAACAATTGTCTTAAAGCAAACAAAATATATTTGTTCCCTTTAGCCATATCTTGTTCAGAAGGAGAGGACTTGACCATCTCTAGTTACAAATGGATTTGTCTTACACATAAGCCATTTTCCTTAAAAATCAAAATAATTTTAGATGTACCAAGAAATCCATCAGTGATATTCAAGCCACAAAGATAATGAGCTATTTTTTTCTTTTACTTAAAAATTCCTCCCTAATCCCAAGAGGGTTTTTTTGTTTTTGTTTTTGTTGATTTCAGAGAGGAAGGGAAAGAACCATCAATGATAATTGTTGATTGGCTGTCTCTGGCAGGTTCCCCAGCCGAGGGATATGCCCTTGATTGGAATCTAACTATAGGACTTTTCAGACCACAGGCTCACCCTGTATCCACTGAGCTAAAGCAGCTAGGGCAAGAGTTTTTTTTTAATGGGAAATTTATACAGAAAAAGCATCCTCCATCTCTTCTGCTTTCTCACAAACTCATAGACGATACATAGCTATGTGCCGGGAGAAGCAGCCCACAGTGCCAGAGTCTCTGGCTGACTATATCACAGCAGCGTATGTGGAGATGAGGCGAGAGGCTTGGGCTAGTAAGGACGCCACCTATACTTCTGCCAGGACTCTGCTGGCTATTCTGCGACTGTCCACTGCTCTGGTGAGTGCCCAGTTCCTATTCTGCTGGAGGGTTATCTGTTTTGACTATTACTGGGCAGCCTGCAGTAACATTGTCCTTTCTCATTGCCGCCTCCCTTCCACTCAGGCCCTGCTGGGGCTAAAGTGCTGACAGTGCAGATAGTGGTCCTCTCGTGCTACCGCACTGTGGGTACTTGCTGCTCCAGCAGGGCACGCACAGCGTCCATGGAGGGAAAGGCCTTTCTAAACCTCACTATCGGGGTAGGTGGGGTGAATTTCATTATGTCCTAGATCCTGTGCTAGAAATCTTCATTTCTGCCCTCACATCTTGGACCTTAGTCCTGGGGGCTCCAAAGTGCTGTTCGTGCAGGTAGTGTGATTACCTGACCTACTGCTGAGCTAGCACTTCCCGAGCCCCAGGGATACCTCTCTGCCAATCGCTTTCTTGGCTGAGCTCCCCAAGCTCCATCTGTCATGGTGTGGGGGAGCCCATTGGAATTCAGAAGGCTCTAGTCTCCCTCGCAAGACAGCTGAACACCGGGACTGGCCAGTGTTGAGAGGCGGAGACTTGGGCAATTGCTGGACGCTGCCCTGGGCATTGCACTTGTCTCGGTCTGACAGTGCCGGCCCCACACTGCGGATGTTTAGAGGGGAGGGAAGGGGGCCTCCACTGGTTTTCTGAGTAGGCAACACAGAAGGGGGTTCCCTGATTGTTCCACTCCCCTCCTCCTGTTCCCATCTGTCCCTACCTTCCCCTTAGGCACGTCTGCGAATGGTGGACACAGTAGAAAAGGAAGATGTGAATGAAGCCATAAGGCTAATGGAGATGTCAAAGGACTCACTGCTGAGTGACAAGGGACAAACGGCTAGGTGAGTGGTTTAATGGAAATCAGGAGTTCCTTTAGCAGACCGCTTTTCCTGTGGCTTCTGCAACGACACATGTATGATGGTGGCTTCAGAATTGCAATATCACTGTTCTCTGACATGTTGGATGCTCTTGTTTGTACCCTGACTTTACACACCCACACTTGTTGCCTTCAGGACCCAAAGACCAGCAGATGTGATATTTGCCACCGTTCGTGAGTTGGTCTCAGAAGGCCGAAGTGTCCGATTTTCCGAGGCGGAGCAGCGCTGCATATCTCGTGGTTTCACACCTGCCCAGTTCCAGGCAGCTCTGGATGAGTATGAGGAACTAAATGTCTGGCAGGTCAATACTGCCCGGACTCGGATCACTTTTGTCTGATCCCAACCAGCTTGTGACACTGGAGTCTACTCTGCATAGTGTGTGCAAATTCCCCTCCCCCTTCCTTTAAAGGCCCGAATTGCCCTTGAGGGAAAAGGATCCCTTGTTTCCTGAGCTGCACTTTTCTTCATTCCTTTTGCTAATAAAGTGTTTATATAATAGATTACTGCCTTTTGTCAAAATGAAGTACTGTGTGTACTATATGCATAACCTGTTCGCTTCATACTTGTCTTCTTTCATCTACTCTATAAATACACTGAGTAAAGTACCTTCCAGGCATTCATATAGATATGGGATGTGGTGTGAGATGAGAATCCCACTGTACTGAGACTGTTTTCCCTGGATCCCCTTTGGCTCAAGTGTATATCAAGGTGTCACTCAGGTTCTGAGGAACCAGCCTCTCCGTTTCCTTCGGAAATGCCTCTGCACTTTATTATACCTCCCTAGTCTCCAACTACTTGAAAGTCTTATTCAGGGGGTGATGGAAACCAAGGACCTGAAAGAAAGCATGTGAAATCTAATGCCTGGCACAAGTAATTACACAGGACAATCCCCATGTTTTTATCACCTGGCTTCATCTAAAGTATAAACACTAGCACCTCTGCCTCATCAGGCTGAGATGTCTGTAGGTCAGGCAAATATATACCCAGTGTAACAAGCATTCAATAAAACAGCAACAAATAGGAAACCTAAGTAATATTCACTGCCCAAAGGATCAAAGCTTTCAGTTGTCTCAGAAATGTGCTTAATATCCCTTTTCCAGTCTGAAAAGGATTAAGTTTGGGAAAGTAGTCCTTCTTACAGGAAGACATTAAACAGATTGTGTAGATGGAAGCAGGCAGTTTTCTGCTCAATAGTCCACCTGACTAGACAGTCACTGAAAAGTATGGAGAAGAGCTGATGATAGGGGATTCCTGCCTCTGCACAAGGCGGGAACCAAGGGCCTCCTTTAAGATGGTTGAGGAATCTGTGGTACCTAACAAGAGGACAGAGCCACTGAAAGGGGTGCCGAGGAGCTGCTCCCCTTTTATTGATGACAGGCTTCTCTAAAGGGAGTGTAGCACCCCTCCCCTCTGCGACAGTCATGGCCTGTGCAGCACAGAGGGACCCTGTGCGTCATCTCCAAGTACCCTCAGAAGAAGAGCCCCCGCATCCGCCTGCCGATGCCTTGTCGATCATAGAGGACGTTGAACTTGTTCACGAACTGGTTCATGGTGTTGCACGTTTTGGTGATGGTGCCAAGGTAGGCCATCAGCCCCACATCATTGCATTGCTGAGGGAACAGAAAGAACCAGTTCCTCACAGCATGCCCAGGGGACAGTTGAGTCCCATGTCCTGCATGCGGTAATGGCAGCATTATGCCCCACCTCCCCATCCTGGGTTTCACACTCACATCATAAAAGTCTGTCTTGAACTTGTCTGTGCTGAGTACTGGGAGGCAGTGACACAGAGCATAGGCCTCCCGAAGGATCTCATGGTTAAAGGGGACCTCCCCTGAGGGCACAAAAAGTGACTGCATTAATATGAGCACTGTCGCTTCACCAGGAAAGAAGAGTGCCAGGGAGACCCCGCTCCTACCTGCTTCAGAGGCCTTGACGTACTCCAAGATGAGCTTGACGCGGCTGTGCAACATCTTGATAGCACTGTGCTGCGCTATCAGGTGTTCGGCTACTGAAGGATGAGGACAGGCCATGGTTGAGAAGGCTTGTGACCACACCTTCCACCCCCCACATCCAAGGACACCCCTCCAGCCTCAGTTACCAGTAGAGTTCTCTCCACTCCCTGTTGCTGTCATCCGGGCCACATGGTCTACACCAATGCGCTCAGCTTCCTCTGTGGCCAGAGTATAGGTCAGTTCGGCGAACAGCATTGTGGCCTATGGAGCACACAGGGACAGTCAAAAGCAGGAAACACCAGGGGCAGGATCTGAGGGTTGAAAGGGCATTACCTCTCCATTGATTATATCGATGACCGACTCAAAAACGCTGACAGGAAGCTGTAAAGAGATGGAAAACAGCTCTCACATTAACTGTACCGGAACCTATACTATGTGCCAAAAATTGGGCTTGGCCCTTTCACTTTAGATTTTTTTCATCAAACCCAATGAAAAGTGTTTGACATTATTCCTACTTACACACCCAAACTTGTTAAATGTGAAAATGCAGGTCAGAGGTTAAATGCATGAGAAAATGCAGGTTAGAGGTTACATGACTAAATGACTAACCTAAAGTCACACAGCTCTTAAGTGGCAGAATGAAGGTTCAACTCAATAGATGTCACACAATAAAAGGCGACGAGGATAAAAAGCATGAGGATAGACAAGCATGACAAAGTGAGCACGGAGCCAGTGTACTCACATCCGTGTGCTTGGTCATAGGGTTCAACTTAAGAAAGAGGGGGCTCTCGATTATCTCACACACCTGGAAGAGGAAGACAATAGACAAGAGTGGGAATGCCCATCTTTCCTCCCCTCATCCTCCATTTTCTGACCCGGCATGCACATGTATGAGCAATGCATACCTGCTTATGGACGTGGATGTCGGATGGGTCAGGTGGTCCCCCTGTGGTATACCAGCCCAGAAACTCCAGCTCCTTAAATACCTGTTTAACTAGGGAGGAAGGGGCCAGAGCACAATGTATTTCTTTAAACCATCCTTCCTTACTTTGAAACTCTTGGTGTATTTTCACGAGTTTCTCCTCTCCCCAACCCCATTCAAATAGTGGCTCAGTTTAGAATAATCCATCTTTTACTTTTTGGGGGCAGAATACCTGAATGTGTTCTTTTTCTAAGATATCTCCAATTACCCTGTTTTCACTTTCCATAGTACTCATCCCATGTCCTGTATATTTCTTCCCAATCTCCTCCATCTTCCCCACTTCATTTTTTTTTTTCCTCCCACTCCTCTGCCCACTCCTATTCCCCTCTCACACTGCTCCTCCTTGGTGTAATAATATTCCTTGTCAATGATAATCTTCTCTTCCACGGTGTGTGACAGCAGTTCAAAGGAGTTCATCACCTCGATATTTCGGCCCTCCTGCTTCCCGATGAGAGCACCAATCACTGGGGAAGAGAAGGACACACAGGAGAGGGTAAGGAATCCTAAAGCTTCCTGATCACATTCTGAGGGTCTGAGGTCAGTGTGAACCAAGGACCGGGGAAACAGTGATTTGGGCGAGGGGTAACTGGCTTCAGGAAAGGAAGGAAAACAGAGGGAGATGACCAGAGCAGGCTGTAGAATTAGGCTTAACACACACCCTGCATAGGCCGCCCTTCCTGGGAGCGCATGCGAATCCAATGGTCTGAGATGTTGAGAATCACCAGGGGATGAAGAGCGACGGAAACACTCCCTGTCACTCCGGAGGCCATCACGCTGGGGACGACTAAGGGAGGAGGAAGAGGAGAGAAGGTGAGAATCCAGGTCCCATGTCCTTCCCCGGAGACGGCAGAGCCCGCCCGGGCCGTACATCCCTCCCGCCAGTTATCCCAGGGGTCGATGTTCCGTCCGCCCTCCTGACCTTCCAGGATCCGGGAAGGCGGCCTTCACGACCCCGAAGATAAGCATGACCCGCCTCCAGAACCGCCCCCGCGGGGCCCGTTACCTGCTGCATCCACCTCCATCCCGCTGCTCCCGCCAGTCCCGTTCGCCGCCGCCGCCGCCGCCGCCGCCATTTTCCCCCGCGCCCGCCGGCCTCGGCCTCGGCCCCGCCCCCTCCCGGCTTCCGTCGGGCCGCGGCGCATGCGCAGTGTCCCCGGGCGCGCGCTGCGTCGGACCGGGGCTGCAGCGGCCCTTCCCCGGGGGGCCAGGGCGGCCTCCCTCCCAGCGGGGAAAGCCCGAGGCCCGCGGCGCCCGGGAGCTGACTTTGACACTACCTCTCAGCTGCGGCTGGCCCGGAACGAATTACTGGGCCCCACTGCAACCTTTCCTCCTTAAGTGAAATTGTAACAAAAACAGCCTAGCTCTCAAGTCTATTACAGAATGAATGAAATGTCATGGTATTGCCCTCCGAATAAAATTCAAGCTGCCAGCGGTGGCTTGCAAGCCCCATGTGATCTGGTCCCTGCCTACCAGCCGACCCTGACTTTTTTTTTTTTAATATATTTTATTGATTTTTATAGAGAGGAAGGGACAGGGAGAGAGAGTTAGACGCATCTATGAGAGAGAAACACCAATCCGCTGCCTCCTGCACACCCCCCACCGGGGATGTGCCCGCAACCAAGGTACATGCCCTTGACAGGAATTGAACCCCGGGACCCTTGAGTCCGCAGGCCGACGCTCTATCCACGAGCCAAACCGGTCAGGACTGACCCTGACCTTTACTTCTCTGCCCGCTAGTCCCCATGTTTCAGCCACAGTCTCCCTCACATCTGTTCATTGCACACGTCCCACTCCCACTTAAGGGCCTTCTGCTGTGTTAACCATCGTAAAACCCTGTAACCAATTCGGTACCTTAAGCTTGGGTACCTAAATAATTTTTTTAATTGATTTTTTTACAGAGAGGAAGGGATAGGGATAGAGAGCTAGAAACATTGATGAGAGTGAAACATTGATCAGCTGCCTCCTGCACACACACCCCCAATGGTGATGTGCCCGAAACCAAGGTACATGCCCTTGATCGGAATCGAACTAGGACCCTTCAGTCTGCAGGCTGAGGCTCTATCCACTGAGCCAAACTGGTTTCGGCCCTAAATAATTTTTGAATAAATGGATGAATAGTTTTGGATGGAGCCTGGTCTTTGAGTGGCTCCATCTGCATATCCTATCATTCCTTCTTCTAAACACTGGTATTACTTACAGTACGGAACATCCTCAGCATGTTTAACCCTTCCCACCCTCCCTGCACTCTCCATTCTATGAGTTTCACCTCTGGCAAAGAGACTACTCCAACCCTCTCCCTGCAATCACGTTGTGTACACTGCCTTTATCTCTGCTCTTGCTACCCCAGCACATCCATCTGATTGGCTCTTTTAATGTGCCTGTATCTCACCCAAAGTGTAAGCTCTGTAAAGTATAATAGTTAGAGACCTGTTCCTTAACCCTGCAGAGCCTACTCTAGTGCCCAGAACTAGCATTGGAGATGTTTTCCAATGATAATGGTGACTTATGTGAATTAAACAATCTTTCCAGATAGGAGACTGGATAAAGGGAAGTTGAAGGGCCAGCAATCCTCAAAGGAAGGGGCCTGAGAAATCCTGCAGGGAGAGAAGTCTTCTGGCCAAGAGAAAGTAAAGGAAAAGGTTATCTCATTCTAATCCCCAGTGAAAAAAAAAACCTCTCAGCCAAGTAAAATATTTATGGGAAAAAGCATATATGCCTTACTTCTCTTAGGAAAAATGAAGTAAAAAAAAAAAAAAAATATATATATATATATATATATATATATATATATATATCCTTTTTACATGATAGGCAGCTTCTAAGGAGTATAATGTTTCTCAACTAGATTGAAGGCTAAAATAAAGGCAAGAATTATTCTGGTGTTAATAAAGTTGATAATTTGTGTTGCTGTTTCACACATTAAAGTACTCCTTTGTCTTTTTATTGTTTCAAATGCTTTCAAAACACTATTCAGGTGATTAAACAACCTATAAAGCAATGGTTATTGTGAAATTCATGAATGACTTTGAAATTGAATCATTGATTGGTTGGGAGCTGGGGATATAGCCTACAACTGAGGTACATGCCCTTGGCCCGAATTGAATCTGGGACCCTTCAGTCCATAGGCCTATGCCCTATCCACTGAGCCACACTGCCTAAGGCTTACTAAGCATTTCTTTAAAAAAAAAAAAGTGCATTATATTAAAAACTAGCAAGAAAAACTCAAGTTGCAATTGTGTTAAAACAACTATCTCACCATTCTCTTCTTACCTTCCAACAAAACTAAAATACAACGCATCACTTTGTTGTTAATTTTCCTTCCACAGGGTGGAGTTAACAACTGATGGGAAATATAAATGTTCAGAGAGTCTGCAAAGAAATGATACTGAGCACTGAAGTGAGAGCCCTCCAGGAATAATCTAGACTGGCTCACCAATTACTTTGAGTCAGGGTGTTGTCAATAAATTATCCACTCATCCATTGTTCACTTACTTAACAAACACAGATATTTAGGAGTGCCCACTATGCAGCAGGCATGATTCCAGTGCTGGGGATACAGCACTATATAAAACAAAGTTCTGACTTCATAAAGCTCACGTTCTAGTTATAAGAAACAGATAATAAGCACATACCAGGATATTAAGAGGGATTGGAGGGGTGGTATTTTACGTAAAAGGGGAAGGTTGAAATGAAATAAGAGAGTAAGATATGAGGCTATATGGAGAAAAAGTATTCCAGAGGGAGATATTGCAAAGGTCTTCAGGCAGGAGACTGCTAGTGTGTGTCAAGAATAACAACAAAGTCAATGGCCAGAACTGAGTGAGGGAGAAAGTAATAAGAGATTAAATCAGTGAGGTGACAGATGATGACAGATGGGCCACTCATTATTAGATTTGGCTTTCAGACTGAATCAGAATGATCTGATTTGACTGAAGGCTGGAAAGGGTCACCCAGGTTGATGCACGGAGGTTAAGACAGTGGAGGGTATAGAAGCACAGAAGTGGAGCTATTGTCTAATCCAGGTGAGAGTGACCACAGCTTTGACCTCAGCAGTAGAGGTAGCAGTGGGAGATGACTCAGGCCTACAGCTATACATCCCAGTGCATCATTAGAAAAAGAGTTATATAGTAGCCTGGCGACTATACTTAATGGAACTGTATTGCATATTTGAAAGTTGATAAGAGAGTAAATTTTTTATTTATTTCTTTATTTTTAAAAAATATATATATTATTGATTTTTTACAGAGAGGAAGAGCGAGGGATAGAGAGTTAGAAACATCAATGAGAGAGAATCATAGATCAGCTGCCTCTTGCACACCCCCTGCAGGGATGTGCCCGCAACCAAGGTACATGCCCTTGACCGGAATTGAACCTGGGACCTTTCAGTCCGCAGGCCGATGCTCTATCCACTGAGCCAAACCGGTTTTGGCAAGAGAGTAAATTTTTAAGTGTATTTTTTATTGATTTCAGAAAGGAAGGGAGAGGGGGAGAGAGACTGAAACATCAATGATGAGAGAGAATCACCTACTGGCTGCCTCTTGCATGCCCCTCCCCACTCTCCCCCGGGGATTGAGCCTGCAACCTGGGCATTTGCCCTGACCAGGAATAGAACCAGTGACCTCTTGGTTCCTGGGTCGACGCTCAACCGCTGAGCTACACCCGGCTGGGCAAGAGTAAATCTTATAAATTCTCAAAGTAAAAAGGATATCCCTTCTGGAGATCAGATTGACTTTCAGTTCCCACTTGTCCCCTCACCCAGCTGCCCTGAACAGGGAACAACCTGTCCAGAATTCCTCCTGTGAAGGCATAAAAGTGCAGTGAATCACTAAGCCTTGCCCTCACTCCCTAAAGCAGTGGTCGGCAAACTCATTAGTCAACAGAGCCAAATATCAACAGTACAACGATTGAAATTTCTTTTGAGAGCCAAATTTTTTAAACTTAAACTTCTTCTAACTCAACTTCTTCAAAATAGATTCGCCCTGCCGAAACCGGTTTGGCTCAGTGGTAGAGCGTCGGTCTGCAGACTGAAAGGTCCCAGGTTCAATTCCGGTCAAGGGCATGTACATTGGTTGCAGGCACATCCCAGGCAGGGGGGTGTGCAAGAGGCAGATGATCGATGTTTCTCATCGATGTTTCTAGTTCTCTATCTCTCTCCCTTCCTCTCTGTAAAAAATCAATAAAATATATTAAAAAAAAAAAAAGAGAGATTCACCCAGGCTGTATTTTGTGGAAGAGCCACACTCAAAGGGGCAAAGAGCCGCATGAGGCTCACGAGCCTCGGTTTGCCGACCACAAGCCTAAAGCGTTTTACAACATTCAGTGGGTCCTCCTGTTTTCTTGGATCAGTATCTTCCCCAAGTCTTTTCTGCTGTCATCCCTCATGCAGGTTTATCTGCACCTTAACTCCCTGGAGGGCTGGAATATTTTCTTCAAATTTTAATATTTATGGGGCATTTTTATATGGAACTGTTGGAGAGGGGAGATATCATGTCCCCAACCCCCATACCACCTTTCTATTCTTGAGTTTTTACAACTGGACTAACAATAAAATTAATATAAGGCCAGATTCACAGGAGAAAAACCAATGTAAAATATGGGCATGGGAAATCATAGATGACGGTCTGAGAAATGATAGACTAGTCATCTTTTTATACTTCTTAAAACAAACAAAAAAATTGGTGAAGAATCAACAGGACAGGTTTGGATGCTTGTTGGTGAGGAATCTCATCTACACAAAGCTTAGGCTTGGATAGTTACCTAGTAACAAGGGTTTTACCTTAAGCTTCTTCCCCCTCACCGGACTCTGAGTTCCCTAACTCCAGCGATAAGAAGGGCACCTTTCACAGGGGAGGGTTCTCCTGCTTTCTGGGGACAGGAGAGAGGTCAGAAAGTTCTTGCATTGGCGTTTCTTAAGTAACTTTAATTCAAAATAATGTTGTGGGGTCCAACCCTGGAGTCAAAATAAGACCACTGGAGGCTGCTTGATTAAAAACAAATTGATTAAAAACAAACAAACAAACAAACAAACAAACAAAAAACAGGCAAGCCAAAACCGGTTGGCTCAGTGAATAGA